GGGCTGCAGCCCTCGTAAGGCGACATAACTAGCTCCAAAAATCTGCCATGATAATGCTAGACTGGCAATAGAATTTTAAGCTCGGGCTCTGTTTCTAACCTGCCAGGTCAGAATGTGATCCATCAGCCTGGACTCCCACAATCATTGTCCCAGAGGTAACAAGCTTTTTTGTGTCACTTGCACGATTGTTTGTTCTCAAGAAAGCAATCGTCTTGTTATCCTTCAAAGTTGATCCGCTTCTTGTACATGTCCTCTCCTTATATGAAGTCCTTCATTTTCCTTCCTGTTCAGCCCGCATCCAAGTTTTCTATTTAGCTACTACGAGAGCAAAACTATCCGTTTGTCAGATTTATTTTTGAAGATGGACCACCGTCAAGATCCAAATCTGTCACATCTTGTCTCATGCTGTGAAAGGAAGACAGTAAATTCTCAGGAGTTTGTAAGACGCCTCGGACTGCCGCTCACCAAGGAAAGGGAAGGCAAGAAAGGCTACTTAACGTTCGACGATGAGACAGGGCAACTCAGAAGCCTTTATAAGTCATCTATTGAGATGAGCCATAAGCTTCGCAACGCATATGATACGTCGAATGACCTGCGCAGTGAAGCAATGCACCCATCCACGGACCTTCTCAGAGATGTTACGGAAAACATTCTTTTGACATATGGAAGAGTCATATGGAGTGAACAGGAGCCGCGATTAACCCGAATCAATGAAAATTACCCGCGATTTTTCATCTTCACTGACCCCAAGGACTTCGAGAGGTCAGTACCCACCGATGGTTCCGTTGAAATGCTCACATGTTTACAGGATCAGAGCGTATCTATACTATTGGATTCTCTACCGTGCTATCCGCTCGTCTGGAACATCGAAGAAAACCCCGAGTAGCAGCAAAAGCCCAGGAAAGACGCATAAACCAGGTGGGACAAGGGGATCTGGCAGGGCAGCCCGTCCATCCACCTATTCTTATCCTGACCTTGAATACGATGAAGTCAACTCCTCAAGTGAATACGAAGACTCGGATAGCGATCAAGTTAGCCAAGATCAGGAGATCATATCTGATTCTGCGAGTATTCAAGACCAGACTGAGAGCTTTCCAAGGTCGTTTCAAGCACCAGTCGCTCAGATGGTACCCCTGTCATCCAGAACTCGGAGCGTGAAACGGAGGGCCGTATCGAGTCCGGATGAGCCAGCATTACAACTGAGTGTTGCACACAAACGCCTAAGAAGCTCTCTAGGCAAGGAGCATAGAAGTCAAGGCTTACACCCCAATGTTGAGCCAGAACAGTCGGCTGATAGGCTCTCATATGCGGTGCCTCAGATTCCTCATGTCGAAGGGGTTCCACGCAACTTCCCCAATCTCTCCAGGTCACTCACGAGTCATAACAGGGAAGGATTGGAGTTCAGTACGCATGGCCTGTCGTTGAATCCAGAAGCCTTAGCTGGCCTCGGAGGGGGTCGGAATCCGGCGTCCGACAGGAGCGATGATAGAGAAGATTCTGTCCAAGGCTCCCTAGCTGCTCCCCGGCTTTCGACCAGGACGAATCTACAAAGTAAGCACCCATCATTGACCGTCAAACTCAAGCTGATCAGCAAAGGCGCCGAGGACGACATTCCGACGGGTACTCGACAGTCGACAGAACCTACACCCCTAACCCGCCAAGCCGAGAAATCAGGGAATCATTGCAAGCTGGCTTTCATGCTGCTAGATATCCTGAAAACAGGTGATCCCGAAAACCAAGATCTCGCCATTCTCAAAGACACGATCACGCTCATCAATACGATACGATACGATGATGCCATACTACTCAATCGCGTGGAAAAAAACGCGCCCGACAGACGCCAGACTATCCTAAATCAATGGCTCGAATGTGTTCGCGCATTTACCACATTTCGCCAAATGACCGGCTTCAAGGGCGACAAGAATAGTCGAGAAGCTTTCATCAAAGGTCTAGCACGGGAGTTGAAGAAGGCTGCGGGACTTCCACTTGTTCGCATGAGTTCAGTCATATCAGAGTGGCGTCAGGAACCTGATTTCACAGTAGCCGGATTTTCCAAAGACCTGGCACATGTGCTCTTCGGAATGGCTACCTGGATGGGCACGATGGAATTAGGAGAGCTAGCGGAGGATCTGACCACGTTCAACGAGAGATTGTTCGCGTGGTTTGAATAAGAGATTGTTTTGTTGGCGGGTTGAGCTGAGCTGTAGACGAACTCGTTCATGATTGCATTCTACATGTTTTTAGATTACGAGTTCAATCCGGGAGATTGCGAAGTTGAGGACTGCAAGTGTCACTAGTTGAGTTAATGATAGAAAAGAAATAGCAAAAGTGCGAGACACATCACGATGAGGGCGGACTCAAGTACTCCTGGTAATGAGCGGAAAAGAAAAACCAATGAGATTTCAATACATTCTACCTAAATCATGAGACATGGACATACTTGGTGATTTTGCTGAAAGCATTATACCCTTTTCTTTCCTAGCTTTCTAATTCAAGTAGCCAAGAAGCACAGTAATAAGATACGATGTGAGGGCCTTCCAATAAAGCTAAGGTACATTTGCGCTTATGTTGACTGGGAAGCTAATAAAGAGGCGCTTACGTCCCTGAACCTGTTGATCTACCGGCGATTGCAGGTATACTTTAAGAGCAGAGATATTTGTTATTACTTTTTGGTTTCAATAGTAGCTTATATACTGCTTGAATGAATAAAATCTCTAGCGCTGCAAGACTGCGCAAATTCATTGACGCAAGAAAGTATTGAAGTTCGGTCCTCCCGGAATTGAACTTTGCGGCATACAATACCACCCCCGAAGAGTTAGGAAATCCAGATCCAGTTAATTGTGCCTCTACCCAATTATATTACCTTCCCGGCGGTAATCGCCGCATTTGGAGTAAAGGTGGTCATGTATTGGTGGCAGATGGACGCCTGACCCCGAGCACGTAGTATGCGCCCCGATATGCGGCGTAGCAGCTGTATTTTCGTCTATCCGTGACCGCAAAGGCAAAAGGAGCGTTCATCAAATCTGAGAACCGGGTAAGCGTCACACCAGAGTGAGATGCAGTATAAATATCAGTACCCTATGTAGGATATTGGGCGGCTCAGCAAACACCCCCACCTTTATTGATCAGACCAGATCGGCTTTTGGTAAAGGGTTTGGTACAGTCTATATCTCCTACCTGCCATTCTATTGTTTTTGATTTCGAATTTATGCTTTCTCACAAAAAGGCCAAATACTCTGAATCTCTTCACTTGTCTTATTATATTCGTTGCTCCTACGCATGATTTCTTGTAACAATTCTGTGTTCATTCGTTGCCGTTCCGCAAAATCAAGCTGCGGAGATATCCAGCCCTCAGAGTCGGTGCTGAGAAGCTTTCTAGCTATTTCTTGAACTCGGTTAAAGTCGCGGTAATCTTGAAGTTGCTGCTCATGCTTCTGGATATCCTCCTCGGTAAAGCTAAAAGGGCATTCACCTGGGAATCCCAGTTCGCTCCACGCGTTGGCACACTCAATTAGGCAGGAACAGAGCGGTATCACACCCTCGTCGCATACCTCTCCACATCTTGTAAACAGTTCCCGCGTGAACTGGGGCATAAGAAAGGCATGGTGTGCCCGTAGGTGCTGATTAGCAGTGCTGAGTTCATAGAATTTTGACATTTTAGTGTCTCCGAACTTGAGCTCAGCTAGCTTCTTGTCATCGGCGTCCATACCTTGCTATTCCTGTGGTAGTTTCGGTTCTTCCGTTAAGCCAAGAACGTAGTCATTGTCAACCGACAGGAACTCCGGGAAGCGGGCCTGTAGATATAGTGGCGAGACTACAATTGACTGCCAGTCAATGATCGAGCAGATCTTGAAGTCCTCAGGCTTGCTATAGATGTTACCCATATGGAGGTCGGTGTGCCACAAGACGGGCCGCGAGACCCTGTTGATGAGCGTTACCATGTCTAACCTAGACATGACCTCCTTTGCCATGTTCAGGACGGCAAACTGCTCATCGACGGACCCGCCGGGTGGTCCAAAGCCAGAGCCTAGAGTCTGTTGCTCAATGCGGGCGATTTCGCGTTCCACGAGCGCTAGACCAAAAGATGAGATGTTCGGCCCTGCAGAGTGGGTCAGCTTAACAAGCGCAAACGATGCTTGCCGTCACCAACTTACATGGTCCATTATTGACGTGAGAAGGTGGTGTCATTATCTTTCCCTGGCCTGACCACGCTCGCTCGCAGGACGGCCCGATGCAGAATTGACCAGAGGGGTCCACATTCCGGTCCAAAGCAACCCAGTGCTCGCCGTCTGTCATCGATTCGCAAAGGTACAGACTCCCGTTAGCAGGGAATTGAATTGACGCCAACTCGGCCTCGAATTGCGTTAATTGCTCTACGAGGTTGAATTGGTCTTCGATAGTCATGGCGCTCCAAGTTGTAAACAACTGTTGGCCAGTAGCCTTCTCCATGATTATGTACTCGACACCAACGGGGTTCGACGCGTTAGAGCTCCAGGCTAGGACTTTAGGAACAGGGACTCGAGTATTTTTGCTTACTACCATTAGCGGTATGGTCAGTCTTGGATTGATGTGGAATAGGTGTTGCAGCCTTACTGAATTTGAGAACAGCCACTTCGGAGGCGGTGGTATACTTGGGTGGCCCAGCAATGGAGAAAGGTATTTTAGCAACGACTTCACTCCCATCTTCTTTCCGCATAATAAGTGCCTTGCTAAAGCCCCCCTCCATCTTATCAATTGCTCTAATGGGCGAAGAACTTCCGCCGGCTGTCGCAGCTACGGCGCACAACTGATCAATGTCAAATCGCACATATCTGCGATTGCAGGCTTCCGCCTCATTGGCGAGAAAGCGACCGTTCGTGTAGTTGAATAGTTCTTCGCGGCTGATAGCTATGCCTCGACTGGTAATGGAGAGAGCTCGCGAAGGCTGTGCTAGAGCAGAGGGTTTGACGCTGTTGAAAATTCTCCTGTGGATTGCCCCGAAAGATCGTGCCAATGACATTGCCGTATACTTTCATTGTCGGGTGTGGGTGGAGTCGCGACCGGACACTTCAGCGGTGAGTGGCACAGTTGCTTAGTCATGACACTTGGAAGAAGGGCACGTGACGTGGTGAGGACTTCACTTCCTTAGAGCTATTATACCTAATGGCGTAGCTTGGTTTGTATTATATGTTACAATTTGAGGGCATTTTGACAAAGTAGGGTACATATGCACTTACATAGACTAGGAAGCTAATAAATTTACAATGCGCTTACGTCCCAGGACCTGTTAATATATTAACAGTTTGTAGGTGTAACTTAGGCAGTTGAAACATTTGTCATTGCGTTGCAGTTATAATACCCGATTTTTTGCTTTGAATGAAGAGAATCAGTGTAGGAAAGATCGCGCAAGTTCATTGATGTAAGAAAAGTCTCGGACCGAAGTTCGCTTTCTCTAGAACTAAACTTTGCGGCATACAGTTTCACCCTGAAAAGTTAGGTTGTCCATTTCATTACGTCTATGCACATGTGTGTCTCAACCATTTGCGTTAGTCTTGTGCGCAGAGCGCGCGATATGCCACTCGGTGGCCGCTATTGACAGCCACGAAATGTCATAGACGCCATGGAGGACCTTGGCTGAAGAATACGAAGTCCTCCTGAAAAGCGCTAAAGGCTGAAATGATTGGTGCTTATAGGTCAGAGCTTGTCATCCCTGAACCACGCCGCTCTTCTGCATGAGAAACTTTCGCGACCCTCCATCAGCCTTGAACAGAGCTCTTGCTTTTGCAAAAGTCATTCAACTTCTGCGAACCTACAATCTCTCAAGCGCCTTCGCGTGAGTGCTACCTCTAGACCTCCTAGAGGAATCCACGAGAGAGGTACCTAAATCCAATAAACATTGACTGCTACTGAGATCCGAGGATTAATGTGGCCTACCCAGCAACGCTTGTTGTGAAATGACAACCGTACGCGAGCTAGGGAACCCCGTACGTACACCGTAGTCGCTAGCTCGCTCATGCGAGATAGTGCTTTTTCGCACTAAGAACTAGTGTTAGAGTGCTGCCTAGAGGCTGTTCCTCTACGAGTCCTTTACGGTCCAATCGTTCGTCAAGCTTGGAGCTTAACAACTTTAAGGGATTCGCGCTCAATGCCTCCTATTTAGACGAAGACGCGTATGCTACTGGCATGGGTTCAACTATAGATATGACATGTGTGAAATTGGTCACAGACCCTCCTCTGCGCTAGAAAGCCACAGAAGACAACATTACCTTGTATCTTTATAATGGCGGCTCTGAAGGTGATACTATTAGCACAAAAGTTGCATGCTTTGGACATGTATTCCAGAGTAGCCACAAAATAGCCTCATAATATGCGGCGTGGACACCTTATTCGGTCCGAAACTCAGCCCTGTCGAGACCTACCCCCTCCTGCTAGCTACGACAGCGCATAATAAGAGGTTTAGAAAAGTGACGAACGAATGGCATTATCTATAGACGGGGCTTTGCATCTGATGTGATTCGTTTGTCACTTTCTTAAATCCCTGTCATGTTTCCGTCGTAACTGGCAATCTGCAGTGTTATGGATTGTATTTTCGGATCGTGTGTCCCGGGCTAATAGAAACCCCTGGAACTCATAGGCTGCAGATTGTTGACTCGAATACCCCGGCAAGTAGACAAGCTAGAAGCAAGTGGCAGAAAAGGAGGTTCAGTTAATGGTAACACGCTAACCCGGGTCTATCTCCCCTACACTCACAATTGATTTTTCGAACCTTTTCTAGTCGTTGCGCATTTCTGTCAAAGCACTGATCATCCAGCGATAGCTCAACTAGGGCGTAGGTGCCTTGGAAAATCCTCCTATTCCCTACTGCAACAAGAATGAAATAACATATCTTCACTCGCTCTAAATCTAAAATTCTTTTAACTAGAGTCCTTCTGTCAACCAAGCAGTAAACATTCGCTCTTACAAATGATCCAATGGCTCCACTCACAGAGGTTGAGATCACTAGTCTTCTTCTGGGATGCACCCAGAGAAAGACTTCGACTACCACATATTACGAACCTCTGGGCCTCACCCAGCTATCACTATCCAAAGGCCCAAGTGGCCCACCGAAATTCACCGGCGTCGTTAAGAAATTCTATCAGGCTACTCAGAGCCTAGTTGACGACCTGGTGGGACGCTATAACTCGAGAGAAGAAGTACAACAGGTCATACAGGCGCAGCGAACTTTCCACCATGAAGCTACTGAGGATTGTCTAGCTCAATATGGTTCCAAGATATGGAGTGATGGCGTGTCGAGACCTTTTACAACGACTATTGACGGCGACATCTACCCACAGCGGCTTGTGTACGCCAACAAAGATGATCGATCAAGGTGAGTAGCATAGGGGTCGAGTCGTGATCTGGAACTAACACAATGAATCACAGAATTCGAACATACGTTTACTGCTTGGTCTTACAACGCGCATGTCACAAACTGGGGAAGAAATCTTCCCACTCTGAGGAAGACCACTTCGTAATCACAGAGACCACACATGCATCGCCCCGCCCCCCAATAAACGGCCAAACCAGCTTGCTTCCACCAGATCCCGATATTTCACCCGGTGGAATGACCGACCCACTAAGTTCAAATGGGATTTCGTACCGAGACAAGCGTAGGGATCCACTTGACGCAAGGCATTACCCAGTACCAGTCGCTCAAATGTTCCCCAGCGGATGTCAGGTTCAGAATCACGTACCGAAACCTTCAGAAAGCTGGCCGCCTGCTGCTGATGTGGTCGAGCGAGCAGGACAAAACATTGCACCTGCACATGGTAGACGAAGACCTCCCGTAGACGCAATGGGTAACGACCCGGAATACATACCTCATAGGCTCTCCGATACCTCCTCGCTTAGTATCGATCTTTCAACCCAAAATTTAGCGCAGAGAAAAACTTCCCAAAAGCGCACAAGAAGTACCATCGGCGGAACATTAGGCACAAACTTCAAATCACTACGATTTAGTAGCGGACCAACCCATCGAGCTCGATTGAAACGAAAAGACTCCTCTGGTAGAATTCCTTACCCGTCACCCATCACTGTACCTTCAGACGAAGATGCCCTTCGGAATGAGGAGCAGTTTGAAAGTGCTTCTACCGCCTCTGCCATCACCATATTCTGCAACGACCAAGTCCTTGAGAATTTGCCAATGAGCCCACAAGACGTCATTGAAAACACACCGTCAAACGCCTCCGACAATCGACTCGAACATGTGGCAACTTGTAGAACAGCTGAGGCCGCAAACGATGACTACAATGACATCGACTCCGTACAAGGTGACTTAAGGGATTCACAAGTCGAGGTTGAGGCACCCACTACATTGGCAGCTCAAGAAAAGATCCCTGAATTGGTAGTCAGACTGAAGCTAGGATCCGCAGCAGCTCGTCTGCGACTGGATCGCAAGCGCCTTGCTCTCAAGCTTCCCAGCGCGTTAGACCTAGGCTGCCAACAAACCGCCCTGCTCAAAGAAACACTCGAGCTCATAGAGAAATTGAGACTATTAGACGGTCGGTTTAGGGAGAATTTTGGCGATGCGCAGTCGCCACATCAACGAATGCTATACCAGTGGTTGCAATTGGTCCGTATATTCATTCACTTTCGACAGGCAACAGAGTTCCATGGAGACCAACAAGCTTGGGATGCACACTTGAAGTCTTTGGAACCTAAGGCTCGGTTGTTTGCTGCGCAGCCTCAAATCGAAGCAAGTATCACACTGGAGGAATGGTACATTAAGCATTCGAGACTTATAGTGGAAGACTTCTCACGAGATGTGACCCATGTCGTCCTTGGTATGGCTGAATGGATGAGAGATCTAAACACCGACGATGTTGAGGAGCTTAAGGCACGGATGAGAAAATTCAATGAGACTGTGTTGGCATGGTTCACTGAAAAAGAACCATATCGGCTTCCAGCTGTAGCAGGTCCACAGCCGAGTTCTACATGACCAGAAAGCACTCCAGAAGATATAAGAGCACAAGCGCTAACAGCGAAAATGAAGGCGTTTAAAAATGTCCTAGAGGTTTGAGAATCTTGTAAAAAGCTATTTGCCGACAGGTATCAGTTACTCAGCACTGAATAGCCTACTCAGGTACCAAAGTTGACCAACTTGCATAACAACCAATCAAGAGGTGCAGATTATGTCTGCTTGATCTAGATGAAAGAGGGCTCCATAATCAAGGCAGTCAAATTATATTAAGACATAACCTTGTACCTTATGAATCAACCAACTTAGCTTTAAATTTGCGATATGTTTTCATCGTGAACGGAGATGCGATAATCCTATTATCGAAAAGCGTCTTTCTCTATAATTTCCGTGATCATCTGCGATTTGAAGTTTGCTTGGGTGGTATTGGTTGTGACTCACGAGGCGACGAGGCGAACCTCCCTTTGCAGGCAACACAGCGCCCTTTTCCTGACTCACAACTAACGCATTGACTTTAACGTCTTGACGTACTTCAGTTGATATGCCATCTGAATATCCTATTGTGCTCCTGTGCAATATAGAAGTAGGGGCTTTCCACCCTTTCCAACTCTTTATCGAGATCGCACAATAATCCTAGTCGAAGTCCTACGTCGCAAATCAAATTCAAAGGTCCGCCAAATTTAGTGCAAACTACCCCCACTAGATCAGCTTCAACAATGTCCATCAACAAAGCGGAACAAGCTGTTGCCTACGCCGCCTTGATCCTCGCCGACGAATCTGTCGCTATCACACCGGAGAAACTTCAAGCCCTTCTCAAGGCCGCCAGTATCGAGGAAGTCGAGCCTGTCTGGACCACTCTATTTGCCAACGCACTCAAGGACAAGAGCGTTAAGGAAATTATCACTACCGTCGCACCCTCAGGGCCTGCGGTCGGTGGCGAGACGTCTGGAAGCGGGAAAACTGATGACAACGCTGGAGATTCGAACTCGGACGGAGGGGACGGGGATGGGATCGATATCGATGCGGACTCTGATGGTGGGTTTGGGGATTTGTTTGCCTAGAGAAGTGCACAAAAGAGGAAGAGGAACGGAAGGTAGGATGCAAGGAATGGAAGATGGGTTGGAAAGGCAAAAGGGGGATTTGGGAGTTTTGAGATCTTACGATAGTGTGCAAGCTGCCAAGGGGATCTTTCTCTCAATTCGCGTTCCCAGCGTGACCAATTTAGTCATTCATGCTATCGTGCTCAGCCGTGCCTTACCATGTTCTTCGGCGACAATTATACCGCGGGACGATTTACTGAGCCGGAGATAGGGATCTGTCCCGCCGACAAGGCATATTGTTGATTTGTATGAGCTTCGAGATGTTGGCGAGGTAGAAGCAAGACGTGCCAACGTCGAGACAAAGTTTTTCTGGATGTTGGAGGTTGGCGTAGAGTCTGAGGGAGAGAAGTATTGCGTCAATGGGCATCTTAAAGAGTCAACGCGATAATTTCCCGAGTACAAATTAACTGCGGTAGCAGGTTCGTGTACCCCTAAGATGACGGAAGTAAGCCTGCGATTGAAGTGGTTTCTGCATTTGGTGCAGGGGTTTTCGTAGATTCCGATGCGTGAACCTGGGCTGCAGGAACCTTGAGCATTCTAGGGCTTGTCCTGGTCTTATTTGAACTCTAGTAGTGAAGACGCAAAGGCTATACAGGTTAGTTGGCAAGTTAGGTTGGGAGTGCGAGTTGAAGGAAGGAGGGGTAGATTAACCGATCGCTTCAACCGGGCCTAACACCTAAGCTGCTTATCGCGCGGTCATGCCTACATCTCCACGACGCTCGCCTTGAAGTTTTGTGCATGTGAGGTATTCGAAATCTTTCGAACATAAGCATTGTTATTGAAGTAGGCTTACGAATATATCTACTATTAATCATCTCATATGACCAATCTGATCTGGGTTGCCGGAGCCGAAAGTGGGTGCTGCTGCGCCGCCCAACTCGAACGCTACTTTTCCAGCTTGTCGCATTGGCTCTTCGCACCCATGAACAACTTCACTTTCACGCGAACTAAGAAACTCTAATCACGATTCTATTTCTTTCCGCTATTTCCACGCGTTGCTGAACTCTTATCCTTAGCTCATCGACTAATCACCATGCCCATCGCGGTCAACCACATCCCTACCCTTTTCGTAGCAGCAGCCCTGACATTCGGCGGCATGGTCCCCATCTTCAACGCTGAATACGCCATCCGCGAAATGGGTATCCCGCAGCGCATCGCCAAGTCAAAGGAAGCCCAAACTATTATGATTCTCGGCATGGGGCGCACAACTACCATTGGCCTCGCCTTGTGGACGTTCTATCTGCAAGGCAAGTTGGAGGTAGTAGATACGCTAATGTTCTTGCTCGGCGCCTATATCGGTGCGATCGATGCGTATGTGTGCTGGAAGGAGGGTGTACCGGGAACGGCGTGGTTTAGAGGTTTGTCGGGACTAGCCATTGCGGCTTACGGGTGGTTTCGCATGACAGCTTGGGCGTGAGGATTCAAGACGGCTGGCACTGACGCTGCATGCGTAGTACGGATGGGAACTCACTGCGCACGAGCCTAGTGGCATCATCGTTCTGCATGCCTATGAGAAAGGCTACGGATTGTGGATCAGACGCATGAGCGGGGTCGTAAGGTTGATGAAAGATAGTCGGGTGGAGAATCGAGGGGTAGCGCCGCGTTAGTAAGTAGCGTGATTTCGACGGACGACTTCTGAGGCATGTACCGAAAAGATACAACACCTTCAAACCTCGAATTAACTTTCCCTGAGAGCATCAAAACCCCTCATCTACCTCGTCCTTAGCCGAGCTGTAATGTGAAGGAACGCAAGAACAACGCGTCTAAAGCCTCTGGGCTGGCAAGGAGAGTCCCTTACGGATTGTGGAACAGTTTTAATCATGCTTGAAGACGATTGGGATGTACAAAATAGCCATATAAAACCGTGCAAATTTAACGAGGTAACATTGGGAGTAGATGAAGAACGCGATGCATTCATACGCATGGAGCCCAACGGTTTTCAGATCAGACATCCACCACCTCAACACGAGCTCAACGACTACATCACGTGCGACAGTCAACTTTTCCAAACACTACATATGGGCGCTGCTATAGTCGACCACTCCCGATATCAGCTGGTCATCGATGGCCTTGTAGATCGACCTTATTCGTTAAACCTCGACCAACTGAAACGACTGCCCAAGACTTCGATCACAGCATTTCACGAATGCTACGGAAGTCCTTTGAAGCCACCTATCGAAGCTTTATGGCGTATTGGAAACGTAAATTGGACTGGTGTACGGCTTTCCCATCTACTTGATTTAGCTGGTATCCCGCATACAGATGAAGAACGCTTCGTCTGGTCTGAGGGTCTCGACAGAGGTGTCTTCGCTGGTGTAGAGGCGGACCGATATCAAAAGGATCTTCCCTTGCAGAAGGCGATGCAGCCAGAAGTCCTAGTAGCTTATGAGCTAAACGGCGAAACATTGAGCAAAGAGCGTGGTGGGCCTGTGAGGCTCGTTGTGCCTGGGTATTTTGGGACGAACTCGACGAAGTGGTTATGCAGGTTATCGGTGCAGAAGAAGCGAGCTCAAGGCCCGTATACAACACGTTTCTATAATGAGGTTATTCCTGGAGATGCGGAGCAGACCACGAGACCTGTGTGGAATGTAGATGTCAACTCAATGATCACGGCACCGAAGCCAAGTGCGGTACTGCTAGGTTCTGAGATCTCTACCTCAGGCTGGGCTTGGAGCGACGCTGGCGTAGAAAAGGTGGAATTGACCTGGGACGAAGGCCGGACATGGACCCAAGCCAATGTGCAGACGAGATCCGAATACGGATGGCAGCATTTCCACACTACGCTAAAGTTGGCACCTGGAGACTACACAATCATCGCGAGGGCGACGTCAATCTCGGGCGAACAACAGCCGCTGATGGGTCGGCGAAATCATGTCCATCGTGTCGACATTACCGTTGTTCCCGGTTAACCAGATAGTGAGACAGTAACTACATTAAAACACACCTTCACGGTACTGACCCTGGAACTTTCCTGCACCTCTTACAAGCACATGTTCCAAAACACGCAAGCAAGATTTCAGGATCACAAACAACACGCCGGTCCAACTATCACACCAGTCTTCGTTCCCAACTTGCTAGTGCTAGTAATGACGCTCCCTCCGGACGAACCGGGAACGCTAAAATTAGCGGGGAATCCTGGGATGCTAGGATTAACTGCCAGTGGAGGTGGGGAAGTTGGTGGAGAATAGTATGTTGTTCCAGCTTCTCTTTGGCGAGAGAGGAGGTGTCTGACTAAGTAAGAAGAGTCTACAGTGAAATGTGAGCATTTGAGCTCTCGCAAGCGTTTCTGCTCACCTTCAACCATGTGTGGACTATTACATTTTCTTGCCTCAAAGGAAAACAGCAATAACGGTGCCGCAAATACCAATACCATACTCATACACAAGAACATTAGTAACAACCAGCCCTTCATAGTTGGTTTGCCAAAGAATTGCCATTCGAAGGAGTGTGCAGGGTATGATTAGGGGCCTACAAGGCTGAACATCGTCAACCTCTGGTGGCTCACGAGCGGCTCACGATCCCACGAAATAGCGCCTGAGTACTAGCCAGCGAGCCTAGAGTACATCAATCCATCTATCTTTTGTCACGTCCAGAACTGAAATATCCCCAAAGCCGCGCGCTGGGTTAGGTTAGGGTTCGCAGTACAAAAGCGGCGCTGACAGATCACCCTGTGGGCCGATGATCACTTCTCTCTCTCTCGGGACGATTGATATCCGTACAGACGCGTCCACTTTGTATGACCCCTGCAAGTGCACAAGGCAGAGAACCACAGCCTCGTTATTCGGACCGCGTGTATGCATGCACCCCGCCTCGCTCTAGACTCTTCTCTTTCAGCCTTGCCTATTGCAACCTTTCTAATGGTGGAGCTATGCCGGATGTGTGACTCTGTGAAGGCTCTTATAGAAGACAGGCGATGGTGGTGCAGGGCATGGCTGTTTTGAGTTAGACCGAAAATAAGGTCCGAAGATACTTCTTAGCGTTTGTACAAGCGCAGACTGTCAACAGCGCATGGAGATTGTGGTCTGCTCTTCCAGCAGGACAAGAGAGTTGGCAAATTTCACGTATTGAAGGGGTCCATTTGCAATGGTTATGAAATGAATTTTGAACATGTGTAACATATATACATCTGAAAACGCAACATTGAGCCCATGCCAGGGCATCTGGTATCATCCACCCATAACTACCAATCATCTAGCTGAACCACGCATTCGTGCTCTTCCAGTTAACATACTCCGGGCCGATCTTGTGGATGTCTCCAACGCCAAGATTGGCGGCATCATTCGCAAGCTCGTACTTTAGTATTGAAACAGCCTTTGCGACACCCTCGGCACCGTAGATGTTTGCGTACATGAATGGACGGCCAACACCAACAGCCCTGACGCCAAGCGCGAGCAGCTTCAGGATGTCAGCGCCGTAGCGCACGCCGCCATCGGCGTAAACTTCGGTTTGTTGGAAGATTTCAGGAGCCTCGTTGTAAATCTCCAATGCAATCTCGAGGGAGGAGGGTGACGAGTCGAGTTGGCGACCGCCGTGGTTCGAGAGGAAGATGGCCTTGACGCCATTCTTAACAGCTTCACGGGCGTCCTCGACAGTCTGGATACCCTTGAGAACGATGGGTAGAGATGTCATGTTGGCGAACTGTTGGTATAGATCCCATGTAAGCAGGGTGTAGTCGGTGTTTGCCGAGCCTACACTGTAACGGGCAGCTCGATGCCTAATGCCGTCACCGGGGGAGTCAATGGTCATGACAATAGCCTTTGCGCCCTTTGCTTCGATATCGCGGAACAACTTTTGGGTGTCGTTCAAGCCGCCGTCCAGATAGACTTGCTGGAAGAGGATCTGTTGGGAGTTGTTGCCTCGGGCAGCGTAGATCTCATCAATCTTCTTGGACGAGTAGAGCGAGGGCATATACAGGATGTTGCCCTGCGCTGCACCCTTGACAAGGCCAAGCTCGCCATCGGGATGTGCATATCCGCCGCGGGCGCAAGGTGAGATGAAGAAGGGCGCTGAGAAGTTGTAGCCCAACATGGTTGTAGGAAACGACGAATCAATCTTTGTGATGTCGCGCATGACACGGGGGCGAAGGCGGAAGCGCTGGAAGACCTCTAGGTTGTTGCGGTATGACCATTCTCCGGCAGCTCCATTGCGGTAGTAGGTGTATGCGGAGGTGTTCATGTAGCGGCGGGCAGCCCATTGGAAATCTGGGAGGCCGACCAGCGACTTGAGAGGCGCCAGTGAACCATTGGCGACTGTGCTACCGAGCTGCTCATCGATACCTGTGTCTGGTTCATCGAGGAATGGGCGGGCTGCGAGAGCCACGGATGCGAATGCAAGCACTGCTGAGAGGCGCATGTTGAAAAGATTGACCGGGTTGAAGAGGGAAGAGTGAAGAGGAGCGTGGCAATAGAAATAATGGGATCTTGGTCGACTATTATACCGTTGCAGATGGGTCTACCTTGGTCTGCGAAACAAGGCACAGCGTTTCGAAACCGTTTGGCCGGAGCACCTTACCCATTGCAGCGGAGCCTCTTAATCTATCCATTGCCCAGGTACTGCGGTGCAGGTTTCGTCATTTCCCTATGCGGAGCCAAGCGCAAATGGGCAGTTCCGGGGGAGAATTTGTTTGGGTAGTATTAAAATGGCCTTGGCAGCGACCTTCCAACGGGCCGATCTAGTTGATGACAGGCGTGGTAGTCTAGACGTCGGTTAAGGTTCGGAGGAGAAGTGATTTCCATGGGTTGTGGTCTGATGTGTGATTGGTGGTGGGAGTGGAATTTTTTCCCAATTTCCTGGTTCCTGTGACAGAGATACATTTCATGCATGAGCGTTGCTTGCAAGGGTGGGTCGGACTGGATGCCACGACGCTGCATTTGGCAAGCTCAATACCGCAACAAGCTGTGCAGCAGGGCCTACCAGCAGGCCGAAATCGGACCTGGTACAAAGAAAGAATTTGAAGCTTTACCAGACGGGCCGTTCACCATCCTCTCTGAAACTAGCGTGGAAAAAGTAGAGCGCACGAGGCCAAAGCATGGTCGCTAGGAGGTGTAGAAATGAGAAAGGCCGTTGGGTGACAGGTGTAAGCTTTGGTAGGTAGTCCCTTGGCATGGGCTTAGCGGGTTCGTGTCACATTTTGTGGTTCCTGTCTGAACCGATCGTTTGTGTCAGAATCTAATCGAGGTGGTAACGTAACGCAGCTCTGCAGATCCGGCCGGCCATTGCCGAACGTACGAATACGATACAGACTGCAGAAACAGGCGAACGGTGAAGCTGTACAGAGGCCGTCTCGACGTAACAGGTGCGCATAGTCTCGTCGAGCCGAGTAATAAGCTGCGCCAACGAGTACAAGAGCAGCCGACGGATTGCGCCGTCGAGAACCACGTCATCGCCACACGGACAAGAAGCCAAACTACGCGTCGAGGCTGCAAATGTCTTGGCTTATAGCGAAAGTGGTGTTTGTCTCGGACAGGGCGATGTGGCTGTACAGTAAGTACATGGCTAGAATACGGGGGGTTCGGGACGCGTCATGCTCGGCAGTACTCTACGGCCATGGGGGGCGTCACGATGCGCATACAACTAGTTGCATAAAGAGTGCAAGTGGAAGAAGAGGAAGGTGGGAAGAAAGCATGTTGAAAAGCAAATGAGATGGGATGAATAGGAAGGCGAGAAGGGAAGGAGTGCGGGTGGAAAAGGGAAGGTGCAAGTAAGCAGCTGCAAGTAAGCTGCTTACCCGAAGCGCGGGGAAGGTGCGCGCCCTGAGTGAGTGAGGTGGGTGCCTGAGGACGCGCGGGGGCCACAACATCTTGTGTCGCATGCCATCAAAATCCATCAAGTCTGCCCAGTAACAATGGCAAACCTCATTCGCGTAGCAGCTTGCCACGCCTCTCCCGTCTTTCTCAATGCCCGCAGCACAACCGACAAGGCCATCAGCCTCATCAAGCAGGCCGCCTCCAGGCACGCCAACCTGGTCGTCTTCCCGGAAACTTTCATCTCGGCCTTCCCGGTATGGAGCGCCCTCCGGCCACCAACCGAGAACCATGCACTGTTCCAACGCATGGTGCACGAGTCCATATATGCGGATGGCGAAGAAATAGAACGACTCCGCGAAGCTGCGCGCTCGACAGGCACGCTGGTCAGCATTGGCTTCAGCGAGCGGTCTCGTCACAGCAACGGCTGCCTGTACAACTCAAACCTCCTCATCGGAACCGAGGGCGAGGTGCTCGTGCATCATCGCAAACTGGTGCCGACTTTCTTCGAGAAACTCACTTGGAGTCCTGGTGATGGCCACGGCCTGCGTGTCGCTGAGACGCGCTTTGGCCGCATCGGCACCCTCATCTGCGGTGAGAACACCAATGCACTCGCACGCTACGCATTGATTGCGCAGGCCGAGCAGATCCATATATCGACATGGCCAGCCATCTGGCCGACGAGGGTACCCCAGAAGAGCGTGCAAGAAAATGACATAGGCCACCCTGGATCGCAGGGTGCTCACGGAGTGAATTACGACAACCTTGCTGCTAATCGAACCCGCGCAGCCGCGCACTGTTTTGAAGCAAAGTGCTTTGGCATCGCATGTTCTAGCCACCTTGGGGCCGATGCGATGGAAGCGATTGTTGCGGGTGCAAGTCAGCCCGACGTTGTGGCCGCAACAATACGAGCTATGCCTCGTGCTGCGACTTTCTTCCTCGATGCGACAGGTGCTCCGCTTCCCAGCTTTACCTTCAAGACGCCAGACGCAGAAGCTGAACAAGTCGACGCCCTGCAGAACGAGGAGGGCATACTGTATGCCGACATGAATCTCGACGACTGCATCGAAGGCAAGCAGTACCACGATGTCGTGGGAGGCTACCAGAGGCTAGACGTGTTTGATTTGAAGGTGGACCGTTCCAGGAAAGATCCGGTTCGTTTCATCTGATAACCCGTAATACAACCGAAACTCTCAGTTACGGCCCTTTACCCGTCTCAAGTTTCTCTAGTAGCACCGAAACGAAACGGTCTTCTTCTTCTTAGTACTCTCTCCCAGCAAACTATGTATAACAATCTCTGCGCTAGATCAACCTCTAATAAGGCACGGAGGTAGGTCTGTGCAGCACCACCGAACGCTGTCGTTTTGGAAAGTGCAAACTTGAGTTTGATGTTGAGAGCTGCTTAGCCTTGGGGTGGTTCAATCGACAAGCTCTTTCACCTCGCTTGCAACTTGAATCTTTACGCGCGCTTCGCGGCAAAAACGTCGTCTCATTAGGTAAGGAAAATCGAAGACCGTTATCGACGTGGTGTGTAACGACCCATTGAAAAAAAATTGGAGGTCCCCCATTTGGAAACGGGAGCTTGTCCAAAGCGGTAAGGAGCCTGTCTATCCCAGCTCTATCCAGGTGCTCGTTTAAAACGGCCTCCACCAAATGTGTGAAACGGGCAATCGAGATGGGATTTCCAATGAAAACCCTGGTTAGCGAGCAATATCAACGAGCGGCCTTGGGCCAGCCTCGCATCGCGGCCCTTTCAGCCTCCGTCTCCAATCTCCGAAAGATCGTGTAAAACGCAGATGGAACAGTAAGTTTTCTCACTTGCATGGGGTCGTGTCTTGAATTGAGGATTTTTTTTTGTATTATTGAATTCTAAAACTTAAGCAAGAGTGACGAAAACATTATTGTATCTTGCCCTCTCTTGAGGCGGCGTCATTGTCGACGACAACGATCGCTGGTGCGACGCCTGCCTCTGCATCACTGTCCTTGTTGGTCTTACTCCTCTTGAACAAGCCCGTGACCTTCGATGTACCCTTGCAACACCACCTGTAAACAATGACGAATGGCTTACCAACCACAGACGCAATAGCCGCAAACCACTCATCGGGGAAATACCTAATACCAACCGCCCATGGAATGCAAATGAAGCCAGTAACAATCGAAATAGCCCACTGCGTGCCGTCGAGACCTCCAGGCTTGATCTGGAACGCTCGGCCGCCAACGAGGATGATCATGACCTGCAGCGCGATAATAAGAACCACGATACCGATAAAGAAGAAGTTACGGAAGATGCCCTCGAGAACATTGAGCTTGTTATCGAGACGGCGGTTGTTGAAGATGTTGAAGATCTGCATCCAGACGAAGCTGTTGAAGATGACCGTGTCGAGCTCGAGCTGCTTGTCCGGGTTGGAGAGGTCGTAGCCGAGGATCTTTCCGCCCGCAAAGTAGAGGACGAAGATGACGGTGAGTTTGTAGATGTTTTGACCGGTGATCTGCTTCCACATGGTCGTGGTAATCAGAGGCTTGTCTTTGCCTTGTGGAGGGCGGTCCAGGATCGCCTCTGTTGGTGGATCAGTGGCGAGCGCAAGAGCGGCAAACGTGTCCATGATGAGATTGACCCAGAGGAGTTGCACAGCCTTGAGCGCTGGCTTCATCTCGTCATCGTATACAGCCGTTACGAAAGCCAGTACAACAGCGGTGATGTTGACGGTGATTTGGAACTATCTTGGTCAGTGTCTAGTTGAAGCAGATGCGATCGTAGAGCGAACTTACTTGTAGAAACTTCTGTACGGCATCATTGACTGCTCGCCCCCACATAAGCGCGGTAATGATGGAAGCGAAGTTGTCGTCCATAAGAATGATCGAAGACGCCTCCTTCGCAACTTCGGTACCTGAAATGCCCATGGAGAACCCAATGTTTGCAGCCTTGAGAGCCGGCGCGTCATTGGTACCATCACCAGTGACAGCGACGATCTCACCAAGGCTCTTGAGACGCTGAACGAGAATTCTCTTATCCTCAGGAGATGAACGGGCGAGCACCTGGAGTTGTGGCAGAACCTTGTCCATCTCATCCTCAGATAGTTTGCGGAATTCTGGCCCCTCCATGACGATACCACCCTCGGTGTAGATGAGACACTCAGTTGCGATGGCTCGCGCGGTTTGCATGTTGTCTCCGGTGACCATACGGACCGTGACGCCAGCACCTTGTGCTTTGCGAACGGCCTCTGGCACACCAGGGCGGACAGGATCCTGAATGCCGACTACGCCAAAGAATGTGAGATCATGTAGTAGGGATCCGAAGTTGACACTGCCGCCCTCGGTGAGCTCAGCATTTGCCGGTGGCCACTGCTGGAAATCATGGTACACAAGTCCGATGGTCCTGAGGGATCGGCTCGCGTACTCATTGATCGTATCCAGCAGTGATTGGCGCCGGGCCTCAGATAAAGACTCTGTCTCAAGGGTACCGAAGTGAGCAACTGCTGAGGAGAAACCCAGGAGGATTTCAGAGGCGCCCTTGACGACCAGCCTATATCCGCCATTCTGGAGTTTGATGACAGCTCCCATACATTTCTTGCTTGAATCAAAGGGGAACATGTGTGCGACCTGCTCGTTGTCTCGTGTTTCGGAAAGTGATAGGAGGCCTAAATGTTCCTTGGCAAGTTGGAGCAAGGCTGTTTCGGTCTTCGATCCGACGAACACGGGTATCCCCTCCTCTTCACCCTCGAATGCAGTGGAGTTGATTGCGATAGATTGGATTAAGATCTCCTTGGCAGCTGGCGCGACTTCTGAGGCCCAAGACGAGATAGTTTGGGCTTTCTCTGATTCAGCATCGGAGTGTACGAAACTGGTGGATCCAAAGGTGCCAGCTACGACAGTCATTTTGTTTGTTGTCTACACAAGGTAAGTCAGTGACATGTTCTCTGTTTAGCTTTTCGGTGACAACTTACCAAGGTTCCCGTCTTGTCCGAGCAGATAGCTGTCGCGTTACCCATGGTCTCGCACGCACGCAACACTCTCACGAGATTGTTCTCTTTCAGCATCTTTGTCGTCGCAAAAGCCAGGGCTAGAGTCACAGCTAAGGGGAGACCCTCAGGGACGGCTACGACAATGATTGTGACTGCGACGATGAGGATGTCCATGAATGCCGCACCCTTCTCCGTTGGGGTCCGGTTGTCACCAGGTAGACCACCCACGAAGCGGAAGAGAAGCACAAAGAACATGATACCAGCAGCTGCGCTTCCAATCTTAGCAATGGCCATGGCAAGACCACCGAGCTTCTCCTGGAGTGGAGTGGCCTCGACGTCAGCACGGACCGACATCATGATCCTTCCGAAACTGCTGTGAACGCCGACGGAGGTAGCCATGAAAGTACCCACGCCTTCAAGCACTTTGGCGCCAGAGATGATGAATGGGTCGAGGTTTTTGATGGATTGGCCGGACTCCAGGGCTTTCATGACAGCAGCACCGGGCGTCTTCCGAATCGCATCAGACTCTCCAGTAGCAGACGACTCGTCGCACCTGACATCAGAACCGTCGACAAATACGCCGTCGACTGGAATGACATCACCCGGTTCCAAATGTATAATATCTCCGGCGAGCACATCGTAGACGCTGATCATGACGATTCTTCCGGAGCGCGTAACCTTGATCTCTCTTTGCTCCTTCTTAGCATTGAGTCGAGCAAATGCCTGTTCCTTTTGCCAATCGTTTAGCGCTGTGACGAGAACCACAATGACGATGGCGATACAGATTGCGAGGCCTTCAACCCAGTCGACCGGAGTTGGGGAACCAGGTGGGTGTTCCGCACCGAACGTTTCGTAGAGACCGAGAGCAAGCGATATGGCGGCAGCGATTGTGAGGATGATCAGAACAGTATCGTTGTACGCGTTCCATACTAATTTCCACAACGGTGTTACTTTCTTGGGTGGGAGGACGTTTCGACCGTGAATTCGGATGCGGTCCTCAAAAGGTTGTCCATCGCTAGGCGATCGACTTGACTCCTTTTCTTTGGTGGGCGTTTGTGGGTTGGTGGCTTCGTCGAAGGTAACATCTCGAGGCACTCTCGATTCGTCGACGCTTAAACCGGTATGAACATCCGATTGCAAGCCGGTCGCGATGCCTTGTATGCCACCTAATGCATGGAATACAGGAAGCGACTTGGGGTTGAGAAGCTTGTTCAGCTGCCCTGGGGAGAAAGCAAACGGATTGTTGTCTATGTCGGCCTCGCTGCGGAGCTCTTGCCTTATTGATGTATCGGGATCATCTACTACGGTAGATGCGTTGCTTGTGGATGCATTGCTCGGTGATACTGGCGTTCTGAATGGATTTGATGTTTGTGAAGTAATCGTGTCAGCTTCGCTTAGCGCCCGCTGTCGAGTGTTGATGTGGAGTGTGGGAGGGGCTAGCTTGCCGGCCTCCATATTGATGAGAAAATGCAAAAGTAGATAAAAACGTAGTCCGCCCAAAAAGATATGTAGGAGAGTAGATGTAGGAGTTCAGGGGCCTGGGGCGACACGTAATATCACGTTGAAACTTAGTTGTAGGATGTGACAGCGAGGAGGGCGCATCGAAAGCGCCCATATACGGAAACCTTGTAGGCTGTGTAGATGAGTTTGCCCCGTGCCAGAATCTACTCAGCTCTTGGTGCGTCATTTTGTGTATCGACAAGAGATTGCGCCCGTCAGAGCCTCGGCGGTCTGCCGCCCGGACACACTGCGGCCTTGTCATTGTTGAAGGCGTTGGAGGCGATGACGACCGACGAGGCTGGCTAGATTTTACTAGATGTTATCGGTGCAATAGCCAAGCGCGGAAGAACATTGTCCTGGTGGCAATCAGGTCTCGTTGGCGGAGTGCCCAGGAGACGACAAGAAGATAGCGCTTCTTGGACGGGGCAGTGCAAAATCGGTGTTACTACGGTGAAGCGCGTTGTGCCTCTGCTTGCTGCTCTGCGGGGTACCGGCGGGTAATTCTCCAGATACCCTGATGCTCTGAAGGGTGAAGAGCGAAAGGCATACTTCTCAGTATCGTGAAGTTGCGATTGAGTGTGTGACTTGCAGGCTCCCATGCCGGTCAGGCTGAAGCTAGCTCAGGCACTGAGGCTAGCCATTGGGTCGTCGTAGGGCTAAGCCACGCGCCACTATTGCTTCGCCACATACTAGTCCGAATATGGCTAGGCCACATCTTAACAGCTGCTGCCTGTGGGAAATGCTGTATGCTCAGGCCAATATCATTCACTCTAAGTCTACATCTCCTCTATCTCCTGCAACATGTGACCATTTGGTCGGATCGGCAACTCCGATGCAGGCAGTCATCTCGATATAATGGAAAATACTATGAACCCTAGCTCCCCATTAACAACATCTCAGTGCTGTCTCATCATGTGGATAAGTGTTTTCCCCCTACGGTAGCTTGCTGGGTATGACTAGAGCTTCTTCCTCCAAAGCCAGCTCTCGAAATCCGTCGCACTCATATTGCGAGGTACTTTCTTCACATCCTGTTTCCACCCCATTTTAGTCCCGTAAAGCATATGTGTACTAGGATTTTCCCCAAAGCCCTTTAATCTCTTCGCTTCCGGACTATCTTCTCCCTCCAGCACCACCCTCTCAGCACACGCCCTGTCAGCAAAGACCTTCGCCCTTGCCTGATCTCCATTCGCGATGGCAATTTGCAGCGCGTCGTAGTAGGCTCGTGCCACTCTTGCGTCGGTAAAGTGTTCCTCCTTTAGAAGCTGGATAATGGTATGCACGTGGTGCAGACAAGTCATAGGTCGGGCAATTATGCTCATACCATCGCCAACGATGTCGTCAAGCTTGGTGATCTCGTCCAGTCGTGCATCGCTCTGCTGCCGCTGCGGGGGTGGAAGTACACAGAGCTTGCAAGTACAGTCGAAGCCAAAGCCCGCTTTCAAGTCCCGCTGCCGAGAAGCGTAATTCTCTGAGCTGTCAAGGTAGGAGATACATATCTCTTCACCTGCATTGATATCTTTGCAAGCATGAATCGTCAACTGCTTCGTATTTGTGTTCCATGTGTTTTGCGCATTGCTGCTACACGCATGATTGATGCGAGAAGCTTGCAGGAAAACCCCACTTTCAAGCGCCCCGGCGCCGAGAGGGAGAGCGTTAGTACGTGCGATACCAAGAGCGGGGTCATGTTTCTCCCCGTGGATGTTATGCAGAGCAAAAAACGCCTTTCGTTGCTCGGCGCTCAGTCTTGCCACGTCCTTGAGTATGGCGTTCTCCAGGGCGTCCATGTCATTCACGCCGCGGGGTACTATGAAGATTGGTTTCTCAGATATGATCCTGGTCCCTCTTGGTATCTTGCATTTTGCTATCATTCCTTGGCCTTTGCCTGGAATCGAGCGCACTTCGTAAATTCTCTGCTTCGATTGAAGTGAGTTAAACTGGTGGGCAGAGGCTGCTGGAGAATGGTTGAACTTACAGCGTTGGTGATGCATTCGGCTTTGTGTGCCTTCCAGTGTTGCCTCTGGCACTCACGAGAGCAGTAATATGTTGTCAGACATCTCGCGCACCGCTTCAAATCGCTATCCAACCCGCTTTGGGAACACAGAGCGCACATAGCTTCGGCCATGCTTGCTTTTGATAGATTAGTAAGAGTAGAAAGAAGTGGCCGAGTTAGTTGGGAGCTTGGCTCGATCCGCCAACTTACTGAGTTTGATATATGGAAAGTAAAAGTTATACAACTAAGTGGACTTTAATATTTACTCGTGGACTACCCTATTATTAGGCAGCAGTCTAACCGGGTAACGTGTCTTACCTTTGGGCAAGCATTTAATTCATCGCCTATTCGGCCGTGTAACATGTAGCCTGCACATAGCAAGCGAACGCAAAATATGAGCAGCAGACTTTAGTTATTAGCCAATGAAAGGACTTTTCTGTCCCATTCCACACGCGCAGCTGCAGTTGGAGTAGCACACCAGTCATATCGTGCCACGGCGTGTTCTGCCCGCACGCACGACAAACACAATCGCGAACTACACGAATGAGAGAGCATCTCAAACCGGTCACCATTTCTCAACAGCATGAGCAGGCGTAGTGTGAGCAGCTTTGAGTGGCCCCTTCCTACTATATTACACTGGGGAGGATGCATCAGGAGGCGGGGAACTGCGGAGGCTTGAGAATTCCGGTGAACAACAGCCTCTCCATTGTCGAAACTAACTCAACGACTTTCACTATTGTTACTCCTCCATTGATGTCTCGGACTTCGAGCGTTAATGCTAATGATCTGACAACGAGCTCGCTAATTCAAATGAGTGTCCACACGACACATGTGCCTATACCTGTTATCTACTATCGAATTCCTTGACGTCCGCATGGTCCCTGTTTCCACGCATCATGGCTTTCGACCGTGTATGACATAAAAATTCCAGTAAGCATGCAGCTTTTTGTTGCGGAGATCGGTCCTCAGCGCGGCAGCGAAAACTTGCACTTCTTCGACCGACCAGCCCAAAGCACGGGTGAAGAGGGCAAGGCAAAACGACTCGGCGCCCCAGCAGAAATTCTCCGAGACCCATTTACCAAGCTCCTTGTATTTGCGGTCTTTGGGCCAGCTGTTGATGGGCCATTTGATAGGTGTGGACACGATGTCGACGAAACCCGCGTTCCTCATCATTTCCGGCACATGCGAGATTGCGTCTAGGGGAAATCCGGCTTTGTCTGCTGCGTCGTGCATATAGTTGTGCCACCGAACGATTGAGGAGTTGGTGGGTAGCGAACCATCATCGCATTTAATCACTAGGTCAATGTCTTGAACTTCAAAATAGCCATCCGTTTCGAGGAACCTGTTGATACGGTAAGCGATGCTCTGCAAGACGCGTGACTTGGTGTGACGCACTGGAAGCACTGCTCAACGTATCGCGGCCAGCTCTGCATGGCACCAATCATCATCTGGGAGTGGATGAAGTCGAACTTGCGTGAAAACGTCCATTCTCTTTCTAGGTCGTCGATTTCGAAGATGAGGTTCGGAGGGACGCTGGGGTGGTAGGTCAGATCAATGCGCGAATCTCGTCGAGGTAGCTGACTTACTTGTGCGGTTGGACTGGCGCCAGATCAACGCCGAGAACCTCGCTCTCCGGATGGGCGTCGGCTGGGAATTTGGTCAGTCAAAGTAAAGGAAAGACTGACAGGGGAGATACCAAAGTCTATGGTCCAAATTCCCGTTCCGCAACCAGCATCGAGGACGCGGTTCAGACGCTTGGTGGGTGCGAAGTGGGACTTTTCGTCCATGGTGAGCCACACGACATGGTGTTGGAAATCTACATTGGATCAATCATGTCATGTACATGTCGGAAAAATAGCATACCCAGACGCTCTGTCTCTTCCTACCAAGCCAAGCAGTTAGCCTAAGCTGGTGACGTAGACGGGGAACCAAGCTACCTCATCCATTGGAAGCACATATTCTAGTAGGCTAGTCAGTAAGGTTTCGACGTTGTAGCCAGCTGTGCCTTACTTGCTGACATGTAGCCTTGGTACTGGCGGCCATGCTCCTTTACTCGCGCGATCAATTCGTCTCGGATGGACGTGGTCGAACTCGCCAGCTGTTGGAGGCACTATAAGCAGTGTTTTCGAAGACAGTGTCCATGGTCCAGAGTCGCACTCACGCTCTCAATGGCCGAGTCGCCATCGTTGAAGGACGAGTCTGCGTCGTCGCCATCCTATGTGGCCGTTAGCGAGGATTGCAAAGGGCACGCGCGGGCACGATTGTGGGCTGACTTGCAGCATCCGGCTCAAGTGGGACGGTCTGGGCCGAGCCGCCCTCGGGCTCGAGTGGGACAGGGTGAGCCGGGTCGGCGTCGGGCTCAAGGCTGGTGGTGGTGACGGGATTCCCCTGGGAAGACAAGGTGGGCGCCATGGTGGACGGGCATCAAATCGTGTAGCCGTGTTGCAACCGTCGTCGTGGGCAGTGTTTTGCTCCAAGCTGGCGCGGTGGTCGTGGGTAAGGATTTTGCTTGTTTCAGCTTGACCGCTTTCGTGGCTGGGCGCAGATTGTCGCGCGGAAGCGGGCTGCGCAGGCCGTCGTCTGTCCGCCCGCCCTCTATCTCGTCATGGGCGACTAAGCGTGGGGCGATTAAAAAGAACGAGCGCCTCGTAGCGACCAACTTGCTGGGCTCACGAAACGTGTAGGTGTGTACTGTGTGCGACAATTCCCCCCCGTCCGTCATCCCATCAGTCATCAGGCTCCACTATACCACCATGGGTGAAACCACCAACAGCGCGACATTGGCCATTGGCCTTGCAAGCGCCTCGCTGTGTGCCTATCTGGTCCACCTCGTGTTGCAGTGGCGACGTCTGTCGCATGTCCCAGGTCCCTTCTGGGCAGCCCTCTCCAAGGGCTGGATGGTTAGGGAATCCCTCAAGGGACGACAGCCAATCTCGTTCAAAGACGTCAACGACAAGTACGGTGCGTTACCCTTCGTCTCCATCCATCTCCATCTTCCTGCGCCCACCCAACTCAACCCCCTACTGACAACCATGCCCAGGTTCGCTTGCGCGTGTCGGGCCAAATGAGCTCATCACAAACGACCCAGACGTGATGCGGAGGATGATGGCCGTCCGCTCTACCTACACGAGAGGGCACTGTGAGGACAAACGCCGCACGTGGATGCGAATCACACCTACTAAACAAATGTAGGGTACAATGCGATGAAATTCGATCCCACCCGCGATAACCTGTTCTCGATGCGCGATGAGGTTGCACATACCAAGCTGCGAAGCAAGATGGCCGCCGGGGTAAGCCTGACTCGTCTCCAATTCGCCCACTACACCGACTAACACGGCCCGTCCCAGTACTCTGGGAAGGAAAACGAATCCATGGAAGGCTCCATCGACGCGCAGATTGCGCAACTCATCCACCTAATCGAGACCAAATACCTCTCCACCGCTGACAGCTACCAACCGATGAACTTTGACGAGAAGGCGTCGTTCTTCACTCTGGATGTCATTAGCACCTTGGCTTTTGGACAGGCCTTTGGCTTTCTCACGCAAGATGGCGATGTTTACGACTATCTGAAGATCACCAAGACGTACATTCCGATCATGATGATCATAGCAAACGTACCTACCCTGGCAGATCTTCTTCAGTCGCGCTTTCTCCGAGGCTTGCTCCCATCCGAGAGCGACAAGCTTGGCTTTGGTGCTTTCATCGGGTAAGCTCCTCGAGTACGCTGCCATCAGAACGTATGCTAATAATAGCATCCAAGCGTCGCCAAGAAGGTGGTAGCAGAGCGTTTTGGGCCCAAAGCCATCTCTCGTCCTGACATGCTTGGCTCCTTCATCCGCCATGGGCTTACCCAGGAACAGGCTTCCGGCGAGGCATTGCTCCAGGTCGTTGCTGGTAGTGACACGTCGGCTGGCACCGTTCGGGCCGTCATGTTGTACCTTTTGACTAACCCGACTACCTACCAGAAACTGCGCATGGAGATTGACAGAGCAACTGCAGCAGGAAACGTCTCTTCGCCTATCAAGGACACCGAAGCACGCCAGTTGCCATACCTTCAGGCCGTCATCAAGGAAGGTCTTCGTCTTATGCCGCCAGCGTCCGGTGTCATGTTCAAGGAGGTCCCTCCTGCAGGAGACGTAATTGATGGCAAATTCATCCCCGGAGGCACAAACATCGGATCTTCACCATTGGGCATCCATCGCTCCAAGAACATCTTTGGCCCTGATGCAGATCTCTTCCGACCTGAGCGTTGGATAGTCGCAAGTCCTGAGAAGTTTGCTGACATGTCAAGCACCGTCGATCTAGTCTTCCACTATGGCAAATACCAGTGCCTTGGCAAATCTGTAGCGCTTATGGAGTTTAACAAGCTCTTTGTTGAAGTAGGTGTTTCCGCCTCTACACACAGATATACCATGCTAACCCTTTTTCCCCAGCTCTTGAGAAAGTTCGATTTCTCCATTGCCAACCCTGAGAAACCCGCTACCATCTCAAATGCGGTGAGTTTATCTGCCTTCTGCTTCAATTCCTTATCGGTTTACTAAGACGCAACGGCAGGGAATCTGGATCATGGAAGATTTCTGGCTTCGAATTGAACACCGAGACTCGTAGGACTCGAACAAGAGAACATCGAACAAGCAAGAAAGCCTCAAGTCTGAGATAGCACTGTGGCATTGTATATTGCTTTGGCTTCTTACAGTCTTTACGCGCATACTACGTTTCACATAATATAGCAAGCAACCAATGAAATCAGTACTATAAACAGATAATGTGCGCTATCAGATAAACCTTTACAATATTTATATGCTTGTAGGAAATCTGGGATCAGAAGTGTCAAATTCGTGATATCAATTCTGCGACTCGATGCAGTATTAAGAACTAAATATTATGCTCAGAGAGAGCGTGTGACGCAAGATGGAAATAAAGCTCTACGGAAAGGACAGGAGCTACATTGATTCGCGACTCTGCAGATCCAATGACCCAGGAATATTAGCGGCTTTCACAAGAGTGTTTGAGCCCCAAGCATTTCAATATGCGAAGCGTGTAGGTTACAACTCTACCAGCTTCCTCGTTTTTGCTACCACCTCCTTTTGTCTTGTCGCTAGCCCTCACTGCCAATACTAATCGGGTTAGTTACTCTGTTGACATTGGTTCTGATTTCACTTAGTTGTCGGGCAACGTTTCCTGAACTGTTTCTCCTTGTTTCGTTCAGGGGAATAGGAAGACCCCCTGGTGCATGTTGTCCAGCAGCCCCGGTTTCAACTTGTTGTACAACCAACATATCTTGCTGTATCACTTCCAACAGCTTGCGTAGGGCCTCATTACAGGCCTTGTTGGAGCGAAGCTCGTTGATTTTCTTTCAATCAATTGGTCAGTACAATTCAGTTTCCAAACAAGGACAATAATAAGAACACTAACCTGTGTGACAGAAACATTTACTTGGGCTCTTGGCGCTCCCAGCCCGTCTGTGAAGATGCTGAAAAAGCTATCGGTCTGGATTCTATACCAAGGAGCGCCCGTCGCCAGTCGCTTCTTTGAAAAGGCCAACACATCCTCCCAGCCGCCGACAAACCAGGTGATGAACACCACGTACACGCACCCCAGCGCCCAAACATCACACAAAGTGCTGAGTTTTCCGTCTGGAAAATCGCACTCGGGCGAGCGAAACGTTGGTGAGTTTGGTACGAAGCCGTCGCTTCGTCTGGGCCCCATGTTGTCATTGGTAAAGCATGCAATTCCAAAGTCTGTGATCTTCAGCGTTCCATAACCACCGTTTGGACCTTGGTCACGAAACCAGAGGATGTTCTTCGGCTTGATATCTCCATGTCGACCGAAAAGACGGCGGAAACTGGGTTCGTCTCGTGCTTCCCTCGTGCTCCTTCGCGTGAATGAGCCCTGGTGGGGCATGGAGGTATTCGACTGGGTCAAATAACGATGGATCTTCGAGAGTCCTTCAACGATTCCTTCACACTGTTCTATTAGCCAGGTCGCCATGTCTGGACTTGGTTTGGTTTCTTTCCAATAACTTTCCAAATCTTTGTCAGCATACGGCATCATGAGATGGTAACTGTCACATAGTTTGAATGTTGTTAGCAGGGTTATGAGATGTTCGTGCTTATGTCGGTCATTGCTCAGGTTCTGAAGTATGGCTGACTCCGTCCTAAAAGCGCTTTCGCCCTTGGAGCCAAGTTTCTTGACAGCAACGATGTCATTAGGTACCTGCGAGATTTCATATACCCTGTCAGTAGTTTTCCAAGACTTGTTATGAAGGCATGTGTACCTCAAATTCTTTGAACGCATGGTGATCGGGGTGGATTCTGGCTTGGTACACCTGACCAGACGCTCCACGTTCTAATTGTTTCCAAGTCGTGAAGGGCAAGATCTCGTCCGGCTCAATATTTGGGACTACCTGTCCGTCCCACCGGTCGAAGAAGGGCGCAAGAACCATCCATTGGCGACTCTCGAATTCCTTAGTGGTGCCAAATCTCCATTTGGTGAAGCATCTTAGTTGAGTGGTAAGATCTTTCTTACGCCGAAGCTCAAATTGGCCTTTGTTATCTTGGTGTTTGACAAGTGGTAAATCTGCGTCGCAGACACCTTCATCAACAAATGACCATATCTCATACGGCCGACGGATGAAAATCAGAATGGTGAAGATCTTGCGGTACGTCTTTTCCCCAGCTTCGATTTGCACGCTAGCTGGCCGCCTCCGGGCCTGAAGGCTCCATTTTGACATTTCAGTGCCGGCCGACCCCTGAGTAACAAGGTTGCATATTTTGCCTGCAGGGAGGAACTTGCGATGGGCAAGGTTTGACGGCTGCATAGACTCTTTAAGTTGGTCCTCCAGGGGATCACCACTAATACCCAGCCGATAAGCTCCTCGCCAGATCTTACTTCTGAGTTCGGCGCCCAGTCTAGTACGCCTCTCCTTCTTGAATCTTGTCTTCGAAGGCCTTGCTGGTTGCGGCCCACCCTGAGATTCATCAGTGCCGTTTGTGTTTTGTGGGAGATCTTGTAAGATATGCAAAGATGCATCTGCATTGCCGGTAGAGGGCTCTAGCACGGCCCTTGCGGATTGTGACGGTGATAATTCTCCTTGAGTCCCCGCGGGATTATCCTCGATTGAATGATAAGGCGTTGATTCCGAGAGTGCGAGATCCAAGCCTGTGGTAACTGCCGAATCAGGCACAATCGTGGGACTATTAATGCGTTCCGGCGATGCTGAGGCGCCATCCGCTGTAAGTGCAAGATCATTGGTGCCGCTGGGCGAAGTCAGATTGTCGGCTTTATTCGATGCCTTAGGGACTGGTTGAACTGCCGGCTGCATTTTGATGACGTTATCGCTGGTGCCAATAGATGAACGGATGCGCTTGATGCCTGAGGATCGCGGGTTGGTCACGGTCTAGAATCCTTACACGACTCACCGGTCGAGCTTCTTCCATGTCACCCCGATATTCAATTGATACGTATTAAGGACAGTAATGACCAGGCAGCTGCGAAGGAAGCAAGTAGAGGCTATGCATGCGATAAATACTACACGTTTAGTGTTGGACCCCATGAGGACGATGAACCCATGTGGTGATGGGGCGCAAAGCTGAAACAACCCTGGAGCCCTCCACCTCACTCTTCACAGAGGGTTGCTGGATCAATAAACACTCCACCAGGCTAAGTCAGCCAGGTATGGTTGGGTTAGTACATCATTTGGCGCCACCAAATTGAAGGCAGAGACTAGATGGGGATCCTCTCTGTGAGGTACAGGGGTATCTACGGGTTCGGTATAATATTCAATGCCCTAACGCCCATCTGGGCTTCATCCCTCTGATCACGCATTAGCGATCGCCGATGTGCGGTTCACCATGCGAGTCACGCTTGTTTGACTCAATCAACGCCTTAGTCTTTCACACCACTGCGAGTCTGCGACTATGTCTGTGCGGTCATCAGCCGTCCACGCCCTGTGGCTGCATGATTCTTTCATTCGGCTCATACAGCCCCCAAACACTTTGTCCTGAGGCAGCATTCCATAGGTCACGCACGCGCTGCCAAACAAGCACTCTATATTTACACAAATGCCTGACAAACCGCGAAGATATAACGATCAATGAGTCCCATCATGCTTAGGGGCATTGCGCAATGTCTTTTACCAAACTCGTTAGTAAAATCAAGTCTCTTTCCCTCCGACCTAAACCAGCTAGAGGCTACTCGCACTTAGTTGAGCCAGCAAATGAAAGCGATTCTGATGTCCAGACAATCTCCGTCGGAAATATCAACCCAGTCCAGCTTGTGAAGAATCTTGAGCTCAAATTCCCATCTGGATTCGAAGTTCAAGTCAGAAAGCCTTGAAGCAGCGCAAGGCTGAAGCAAGCTAACTTGATGAGATACAGATTATGCACAATGTTTATAGTATACGAGCTCCAAGACGTCTTTCTCTAGTAAGATCCCGCCATTATATCAGCGTTAGGTCATGGTTACTGATCCCGTTTCGTAGAGTGAAATTGAAGAGTGTAGACGGGATTTCGGCACACCCTCTTCCCCGAGCCGGGGCATGGGGAAGCAGCCCAAGAAGCGATGGGCCATTCCCACATAGCTCAGATTACGAATAGTTCGCTGCAGTCAAATCAATCCCATATTCGTTGATTTGCGATTAGATACCTATCCTTTTCTATTTGTGTGACTGAACAGTTCGCGAATCTTTCCAGATGAGGCTTGTTGACCGTGTCATATGATCATCCGATAATCGGACTGGAGGCATCTACTTCACATGATAGATTTTTGATACATCGTTCTATGACTACAAAGATACGCCTGAGTATGCGTGGGTGTGGCCGATGACGTTTAGCTTAGTGGGCTTCCACACCTGCACCGACAACTTTCAGGGTTCTAGCACACCCCACTTCTACACCATGTCAACACACAGCCTCTCCTTTGCCTGCTTCACGAGCGGGCTGTGACTAGCTATCATATGCTTATTTTTGAGATAATCAAACAGCTATAAGGCGCAATAATACAGGCTTCCGTTCTCCATTCGGGGCGCACTGGTTTTGGTGAGCAGAAGGCGCGTGGAGGTCAGCCCCGTCGCCTCGCTATCTTTCAGCTGTCGCCTGAATACGCAGCGGGCGCTTTTACAGCCTGTCATTCCAATCACACCCCCGCCAAATTAGCTCGTCATCAGGCGACTCTAACCCAAGTATGTTGCCTAGGAGTATGTCAGTCAGCATCTTTCCCTTGACTTCAACGAGGCTGTGGTCCAGTATGGTATAAATGTGGCGAGGAACGCATGAGTTGTATAAAGCTTTTCAGGTTCTCCTTGTCATCTCTTGAGTATTTTACCACGCGCCGAACATTTCTTAACGCACATTTGGACCGCCACCTTGGGTAGTAGGATTCCGGTGCTCTGTCGAAATGGCCGATGATGATTCACCGCCAGAGGATGCGCCTGAGCTATCATACGTCTTAAGAATGAGCATGGTGAAGAGCACATTCGATAAGACACCGCGTTTCGAATTCCTACCACATGGAAAACTTGACATGATCATTAATCGGAAATCAATTCTTGCCGAGTTAGATCTCTTTCCACCAACCGAGGAAGAAAAAATACTCGTAGATTTTATCCTTACGAAAGCGAAAAAGGTTTTTGCTACAACGGCTTCTGCTTCCCTCAGTGCCACAGGATCCAGATCGTTGTATGACGCAATGCGACTGTTTTATAAAAACAACTTCGATGACAGCAAGCTACCTATCGAGGACCGTTCGCATGAATCCCCAGATGTGAAATGGCGTCAACACCCTTTTGCCTGTATGGAAAGTAATGTTAAGAAGAAAATACGTGATCGAGATCGACTTTGGACTGGAACCACAATTTACAATTTTCATGAAGCCCAGTGGAAGTTTCTCGTTCCAATATTTTCAACCACAAAACCTAATCACGACCTTGGGGAAAAAATAGTGCCTTTTATATCAAAGCATGCCAGTGGAGAAGGCGCCTTTGGGGTCGTTTGGAAGTATGAGATCCACAGTGACCATATTAACGATCCTTCGGAATCGGTATGGCAGACGACCGACGCCTAAAATTCGACTTACGTTAACAGCTTTCAGATTGTCAAAACCCCAAAATTCTGTGCCGTCAAGGAGATCAAGTTAGAGAATGAGCAGCACCGACAGGAAGTAGCTAGGCATTGGGATTCTGAGGTCAAGGCCTTAGCGATGATGAACAAGCTCAACCAGGATCATATTGTCCGCTTTATAACTGCCTTTCGCTGGGGTAAACGAGACGATCTTGGATATTACTTAATGTTTGAGTGGGCAAACGGAGGAAACCTTCGTGATCTCTGGAATGCAACACCTCGACCATCGCTGACCGCATCATTGGTTAAAAGCGTTATCGAGCAGCTTCACGGGCTCGCGAAAGGACTATATGCAGCTCATTTTCTACCCGACCAGGGTGCGTATAGCGGCGCAAATTATCGCCATGGAGATCTCAAACCCGCCAATATCCTTTGGTTTCGTGAAGGAAACGGAATTGGTATACTGAAGATTGCCGATTGGGGTGAGGCTAAGAACCACCTCATGGCCACTGAGTTGCGCCACCACCCAACATCAGCAAATACCGGAACTCGACGCTACGAGGCTCCCGAGATTGAAACCGGAATACCCACGGAGCAGGTAGGGTCGGTTTATTTGGACCAGCCCGACGCTCAGCCTGACATGCGTCGCTCTCGGCTCTGTGATATCTGGGCCATGGGTTGCATCACTCTTGAGTTCATCATCTGGCTCGTTTACGGTTTAGATCAGCTTCAACGCTTCAACCACAGTATTAATGCAGACTCGGGTGACGACAACTCACCATTTTATCAAACCAGTAGCGTAGGTGGGAAAAAGATAGCTAAGGTGCATCCGGTTGCCGCACATTGGATGACACATTTAGCTCGAGAACCACTCTGCCGGGTAGGTACCACTGCCTTAGGCGACCTTCTTGAGATTGTTCAGACAGGGCTTCTGGCGGTAAATTTCCCAAAGGGGTTTGGTACCGTCGACATCAACAATTTCCAGAAAGATCAAGCCCCTTCTACTTTACCCCGGTTCCGTGGGCCAGAAAAGGGCGAAGTCAACGAGGCCCCCACATCTCCAATATCAATTCCTTCTATCAATGTTGTCGACACTGATCAGCATGTCGAACCAGCTGCAGCATCACCGGCGTCTGCCCATGCATCTGTAAAGCCAAAGGTGGGGTCTGGAGGGCCAAAACGATTGCGTACGGACCAGTTCTGTGATAGGCTAGATCGTATCATGAATGCGGACGAGGAGGATAACTACTGGTTCACAGGCCAACTGCCTGGGCCACCACCTACGAATATTGGGCACTCGCCTTCAGCTCAAGTACCTCTACGGTTAAAGACAGCCTCGAAAGGTCTTGGGCAGCCCGAGCGCCGGCTAGTGGACTACGCGCACCCTAAGCTGGATCCTGATGACTGGGAGTTCAGGGTGGATAACTCATTTGCCATGGATTTGTTTTCAGGTCTAAAATCTACTCATGGCTGTGTCGTGCCTGAAGCACAAATTTCCTCGAACCTTTGTTCGAATTGCACTAGCTTCCGAGACCAACTCTGGACCCCAGGTTTCAGCATCACCTATCCCGTGATGGAGCTAGAAGCAAGAGCGAAGTTGAAGGAGTGTGATCTGTGCTGGCTGCTATACCAAGCCTGTGAGCCTAATTGGGGCACCTTATTTCCTACCATTCAGTTTGATAGGGTGGATTCTTTATTGAAAATGAACGGCGCTCATCTCCCAGTGCTGTCAATCTTTCGCAGTCCCGGTAAGTCAAACCTACTCCTTCAGATGCGCACCGACGTATATGATGCACTAACGGCGTGACCAAAGATCACAACAGTCAAGCAGCTACCGATATACAAGTCGGCTTTGCCGAGCTACCGAAGGTTGGGAGTGAGGCGCACCTTGAAGTCATCCGACGGTGGCTCAATGATTGCGACCAAACGCACAGGACATCTTCATGCAAGCCAGCTGAGCGAGGAAGTCAACCGGCGCGCGACGCGTCAGCAAATTTACCGACACGGCTCATTGACGTAGGTAGCAGTGGCGATGATACAGTCTACCTTCGGGAAAGCGGCCCTCACGACGAAGGCGAATGGATTGCCCTCTCCCATCAATGGGGACCTATTCCACACTTTTCCACAAACCGCCAAAATCTCGCCGCTCATATCGCCGGTATGAGACTTGAAGAGCTACCAGCTACATTTAGGGACGCTGTCACCGTTACGCGAGCACTTGGGCGTCAATATCTTTGGATTGATTCAATTTGCATTCTCCAGGGTGATGACGGAGACTTTAAACACGAATCCAAACGTATGGGAGAAGTCTACAGCGGCGCATACTGTGTCATTGCGGCGACGTGCGCAAGTGGCCATTCCTCCGGCTTTCTGAAACCGCGAAAGAAGAGGAATTACGTCGCGCTTCGTCGTGATACTGATCGGGAAGCACCATTTTACATCTGCCAGACAATTGATAACTTCAAGGAGCACATTCTTGAAGGGGCTCTGCATCGCCGTGGTTGGGTCCTACAGGAGCATGCCCTAGCCAGGCGAACCATCTTCTTCGAAGAGCACCAGACATATTGGGAGTGCGGTCACGATGTTCGGTGCGAAACGATGACGAGACTGCACAAGTAAGAACATCCTATCATCTCATCACTTGTTTGCAAAGGGTGTGTACTAACGATCCCTTCAGTAAGTCGGCCAAATTGCTTGGAGACCCAAACTTTCCCCAAATTCTCAACCCTGCCCCTCAAGGCGAGAGAATCCTTCGATATCAAGAGTTGTATCAGATGTATTCAAGGCTTGGCCTTACCAAGGCATACGATCGACCTACGGCAATTGATGGTTTACAGCAGAGGCTTCTCCGCACAATGACAGTGCAAGGGGGGTTTGGTGTGTTCGACGAGGGCGAGACTAAAGGAACATTGCGTCGGAGCCTGCTCTGGCATCGCGGAAACGACACGCCCAGTCTAACTCGCATTGACTTCCCTGCTGATCGAGTAGCTGTTCCCTCCTGGTCATGGATGGCCTATTCCGGCGGGATAGACTATCTCAGAATGGACTTTGGCGAGATGGAATGGGAAGACGTCCAATCGCCGTGGTCGTCCTCGGAGAAAGATAGCATCGCACTTGGTGCTGGAGCTCGGTTTTACGACCGGGAAAAAGCAAAGAATGGCGAAGACTCGCTGATCTTTGACTCTCCTACAACTTCGGTCGGACTGAAGTTGATGTGTGTAGTGCTGGGTATCCAGAAAGGATCAATACCTTTGGAGGACAAGAGGCACTATGTTTTACTGGTTGTTCCAACGCCTAAATTGAACCGCAATGGAACAAAGATGTTTGAAAGAGTTGGCGTGGGGTATCTACCGGGGAGATGCATCGCTGCCACTATCCAAGCAGCTAGCATTTATTAGAGGGAGAGGATGGAAATCAAGACCTGAGTTTCAGTTCGAAAGCCGTGACCACTTTCACAAGGGGTAGCGAGCGTAGAATTGAGAAGAAGTAATGAACATTGGAGTGAGTGTTGTGGACGGGAGCTTCGTGTAAACCAACGACTCTGGAAATCAAAGCTCAATTTGAAAGCGAGAAAACTGCTATTCATATGTACACAAAATACTTTAATATATACAATTCAAATCACCAAGCCCTGATGCTCTATTCTCTACATCCACGCCACTGCTACACAGCTCACCAACACAGCAATCCACAGTGCCCCTACACTCCCCCTCAAAGTATGCGCTGCACTGCAAACCGCACCCTGTGGGCACTTCTCCGTGCTACCAGACACCTGCGGCTGCACATTGTCCACAAAAGAGCCAATCATATTGCCGGCAGGAGAGTACTCGCACACGACATACCAGCCAGGCGCGTCGCCATGGCCGTCTTTCTCGCCACCATTACATTGCTTCCGACTGCAGCCCACTTGCGTAGTATTCTTCCAGACCAACTGGGTGAAATGGCCAGTTTCGGCACTAACGCATACGGTCAGGTCTCTTCAGAAAAGATATTAGAGAGGTAGAAGAGAAACGTACCTGAAATCTCCCTTGCGGAAGTTATACTTTGTCCGCTCCTGGCCCCACGCAATGATCGAAGCCGACGCATTGGGATACCCAGAAGCCAAGTTCTCGCCATACGGACCGCCCTGCGCTGGATATTAGAAGTCTGTTCTTGACTTGTACGAGTACTGTTTCTCCTCCAACCCCCAGCCCGAATTCCAACATCTTCATCTTCATCTCATCCCGCAATCAAACTTACACTATGCTTAAATTTGCAATCATCACTCCAATCCCCCGCAAACTCCGCCAGCGTCTTATTCCACTCCAACTTGGTGGCATTATGCTGCTCGCGATACGTATTCGTTACATTGAGGACCGCATCGCGGAACGCGTCGTCTTTGGCGTATTCTGCTGATGTAGCGGTGTCTTCGCCGACTGGCTGTGCGGATGTGCTGGTTGGCGAACAGAGGAGGAGCAGGGAGAGGAGGAGAAGCGAGAATGGGAGTGTGCTGAATGAACGCGACGCTGGGGAACGGGATTGCTGCTGCTGATGCATGGTTGGGGTATCTTCTTGCTGTGTAAGGAAACGCTAAATCGATGGACGACGATGGCAAGCGAGCGAGCGAGCGAGGAACAAAAGTTATAAAATTGCAAACTGCATTGAACGAGGAGAGATCAAGCCGCGAAAGATGGTCTTGTTGTTTGTGTCGTTATATCGTTGTTTTCAAACGTGTGGTTACGTCTTCGTGATGTTGAAGTTCAGATGGGATGATTGGATCTTACGCGCTGACGGGAGAGTTTGAAACGAAGAAAGATATGTTTCGAAAAACATGTCTGCTCCGGAAATCATTTGCACTACTATCTGCAGGCCAAGACTGACGTACTTGTTTACCGTGCAGCTGTCAGGTAACGGCTATCGCGCCGAAGCATGTTGCGGACTGTGTATTCTTGGAATGGCCCTGGTTTGGTGACGTAGCTGGCGGACCTTGGCAGACATGACTCGCTCAGATGATCCGCACAGCAACAACAGAATGCATAGATGAAAGGGTCAGGAGAGAGGTTGTGGAGAAGTATATATATGGGATACGTTGAGAGGGAGAATCTTGGGTAATAGTACTGGAATATCAAATGTGCAATGCTACGACAACAACAGTCCAAATCGAGCGCTAACCACCATAATCATTACTCATTCTCTTCGTCGGCCTTACAGCGGAACCACTTTCTAGGCATAATTCGTGTACTCATGACCCTCGTCACCTCCTCGTATTCCACAAACAACACATCGTACCATCTGTATCCAACTCCCCAAGCGGGCTAATCTAATACAAGCATGGTTCGTCCGAAATAGAATAAAAAATGTACACAACGCCAAACGCAAAGGGGTAGTCCAGAAGCCAAAAGCGATACGAAATGTACGACGCTAAAATGACAATGGTATCTGAACTTTTCCACTTTCCCAAAAGGTAATGCCCCAACACCAACAGGTCGTAGATCTAGAGAGGGCCGAACTCTGGAGACTCGTGGATCCTAGGAGATGTCTTTTCTCAACACCTGAAAACGTGACACCTGTGGGGAGGGGGAAAGGGATATTGATGCCAGGGAAGAAAAACAAGATGACGCAACATAGTGACAAAGAAAGCCGAACTTGGAAGAAAGAGAAAAAGAGAGGCCCCGAGATAAGACCTCAAGCTACTACTGACGGAGACGGTAATTCGTGAAGCAAAAGCATGGCATGCATAAACAGCGTTACGGACCGACAATGCAAGGCTGAAAAAGGAATGGGATCGACCAGCGACACAGCAGCGCGATAACGATAGCGAAAAGCTACTAACGGCACCAGCAAAGCAATCGTAGATTGACTGTAATGCCTTCACCGGTAGTTCACGGGCCAGTATCTTCTTACGATGCGTACGTCGTCGGCTTGATCCCACTCTACCTCCAGCACTACAAGTCAAAGTCAGCAAAGAGCCATTCATTTGACATGTTGTGCATGTGCATGTGCGGAAACGTCTCGTGCGAACAACGCTCATGTCTTCTTTTTCTTCGAATCCTTGCGCGCATTGTTGCCGCCAGCAGCCCACCTGAAGAACGGTGATGGGGCGGGCTTCTTGCGGGAAGAGCCTCCACCTGAGCCGCCACTGGGCATGACGACAACAGCAGGTGGTGGGGGTGGCGCGCCGCCACCAGGAGCACCAGGCGGAGGGGGAGGAGGGGGAGGCATTCCCATAGCAGCTCCTGGGGGAGGAGGAGGCATTGGAGGCACTTGCACCACGTGTGCATGGTGGTGAACTGACTCACGCTTTCTACTCTTGTCTCTCTTGCTCTTGCTCTTCCCCAGAGGAAGATCGCGCGATAAGAAGGCTGCTGCATCGGGCATAATAGGCGGAATACCGTAATCTTTCGGTTGCTCTGGAGGTGGTGGAGGAGGATCAGGCATTGGCCACATGTGCATCGTGATAGTCCAGTCAGGCTGTACCATGGTTTCCCAAACTTGGGGCAAGATGATCTCGCCGTCGGGGCCGACGAGGTCGTAGTGGCCTTCATGAACGTGGGGGCCAATAACATCTACGTGCAGGAAGGCTTGCTTGATGAGTTCTTCCATGCCCTGACCGTCCTGTTAGCGCTAGATTCGAAGAAACGGAGTCGAGATACTTGCCTTCCAGGACTTGCACAAGTGCCATGGGAAGCTGAACTTGCGGCCGACGGCATCTTTGAACTTGATCGGCGCCTTGGGTGCGTCGGATGGCTTCAGCTTCGCTGCCTCTTCTTCCGCGGCCTTCTTGCCCTTCTCGAGCTCATCTGCCGCAGCCTTGGCTTCAGCGAGCGCCTTCTCATGTGCCTTCTTCGTCTCTTCAGCATCTGCCGCAGCCTTCTTCTCCGCTTCCTCCCGGGCCTTTTGGGCTGCCTCAAGTAGAAGCTTAGCTGATTCAGCGGCCGCCTTCTTATCTGCTGCAATCTTGGCGGCCTCTGCGTCTGCCGCCGCTTTGTCAGCTGCACGAGCCGCGTCTGCTGCCGCCTCCCTCTTCAGTTGCTCGTCCTTTTGGGCGAGAATAAGCTTCTCGAGCTTCTCGAGCTTGTCTTCGTCGCCAGCCTTCTTAGCATCCGCTGCGGCTTTTGCAGCATCTTCGGCTGCTTGCTTCTTGGCCTTATCCTTCTCGATGCGGGCTTCTTGCTGGGAGATGAGCAGATTCTCAAGACGAGCGAACTTGGCCGCTTCCGCATCCTTCCTAGCTTGCTCTGCTGCCTTTTCGTCGTCTTCTGCTTTGTTGAGTAGCAGCCTCTCGAGCTTTGAGAGCATACCGTCTTCTTTTGGATCGGGTGGCGGAGGTGGTGCAGGCATTATGGGCATGGGCATGGGCATCTGCATCTGCATGGGCACTTGCATCTGCATCGCTGGGGTCTGTGCTGGTGGCGGAGGAGGCGGGGGCGCATGCTGTTCCTCCTCGTGATGCTGCGGCTTGGGAGTAGCCCTCTTCGACGGAGGGTGCTGCGGCGGAGGAGATGGGTGCTGCGGGTGTCCGTATGGTGGATACATGGGAGGCATTCCCGGCATGCCATAGGGCGCGCCGTACGGAGGATAGTAGCCCATGGGCGAGAAGGGCATCATCTCTCCTTGCGGTGCCGGTGGCATTGAGTTGCGGTGACCGCGGCGGCCTTGACGATGATCGGGGGGATACTCCGGGAAGTAGGGGTTGTTGGGGTCTCTACCTGCACCTGGAGGGGGAGGCTGCGTGAAAGGGTTCTGTCCATTGGGCGAAAAGGGGTTCTGAGCGTAGAAAGGCTCGTGGCCAAAGGGAACTAATTGGCCTGCGGGCGACTGTGCGCCGCCTGGGTAGCCGTGGAAGCGAGGGTCAGACATCATGCTGGGTGCATAGCCGTTGGGAGCGGGCTGCGGTATGTGACCCCAGCCTTGACTGGGGTGACCAGGAGGGGGAGGCGCGGGGGCGCCGCGAGCAGACGGCGCGTAGGGGTAGTCGTCCTGGTCTTCGAGGCTATCCGCATGGACGGATTGGCGCCGTCGCCGTCGCGGGCGGTGTTCAGGCTCCAGTGTGGTTCTGCTGCGGCTCCTGTGGCGCGAGGGCGGGTCTGAGACGGGTACTGCGTGTCTCGAGGAGGCGCGATGAGCAGGCTTGGGTCGCGGGGGTGGTGCGGCGGGAGCAGGGACGACGTGGCGCTTCACTTGAGGGCGCGAGGCCGAGTCTGAGGGCTGGATCTCGTCGATGTAGTCACCACACGAGTCCCACTCGTCGTCCTCGACGTCTTCCTCGTCTTCTTCTTCTTCTTCTTCGTCGGATTCGTCCGTGTAGTCTCCCTGGCTACCAGACGAGACTTGCACGCCAGACGAGTCTTCCTCGTCGGTATAGTACTCGGCGCCCGTGGTGTGGTTGACAGTGATTCCTTTACGGAGTCTGATGGTGACGTTAGTGTCGCCTTTTACGTGTCGCGAGGGGGAAATGGAAACGCTGGACGGGGCTGTGGAGCGAGTGGTGCGCGAAGACGAGGAAACAGCAGAGCGGCGGTGGACAGGGTGGCGCGAAAGCGACCGCCGTGAAGACTGCGACTGAGACTGCGAGGGACGGGGCATTGCGCGACGATGGGGGAGGGCTATGACTAACGGCATGAGGCTGGCTGGCGTCTGCGGTACCGTACTCGAGCCCCTTCTACCAGAGAACGGCCGAGTCCGGTATCCCTAGAGGGTCGAGAGGGAAGGCTGACGGGAGGGTGACGGTGAGTGGTGGGGTGTAGTTGACCGGTCCCAGCAACGGCGGCGGGGCAGAAGCGACGGGATGCAGTGAGGGACTAGGGGCGACGGCTAGGCGTGTTTGTAAACAGACGGCTGGCCTGCCTAGGGAGGAGGACGTCGACCGACGCTGCTGCTGCACGAGATGGGCTGCGGGGATTTGCGATACGGGCGGGAGCTCTAGATGATAAAGCGTCGCGCTCGCTGGGATTGGGAAGAAAGGGGGGTAGTAGTAGAAAGGTTTGGTGGTAGGGCTGGGTGCTGATTCGACGGTGCGGCAGAATGTCTCGAAAGCCTTCGGCTGAAGCAGGCACTGGGCAGAGGCTAGTCCGTGGGTTCCCTTGCGTCGTAATTGGCGTCTAATAAGAGCGCGCGGAAAGGTTGTTGTTGATGTGCAAAGAGGCACTGGATGGATAATATAAGATGGATGGTGATGGGTAGAAAGTGGTGTCGTCTAACCTCAGACGGGATGGCGGATGGCAGAAGTGGGAGGAGAGAGAGAGAGAGAGAGAGACGCAGAGGCAGACGGGACGCAATCGATAAGAATAGGACGGCAGCAGAGTGTCTGTCGTGCCCTCGTGTAAGACGACTGACTATCTGGCTGCTGTGGGCTTGTTGGGGTGTGCGTGTGGCAGGCTGTCAGGCGGAAGCCGACCCTGGGTCAAGATGCTGGAGCGAAGCGGGGGATGGTGGTCGCACACACACAAGACTTCACAACCACAGGCGAGGATGGGCTCGACGCTCGATGACGATGATGATACTTTCGTGGGGCGCCCGTTGCTTTTTGCACACAGACTGAGCTTTAACACACTACCGCGTGCGTTGCCGTGGTGTTGGGGGAATTGGGAGAAGAGAGGTTACAAATATGTGGTACGGATAGTAGGATATGGGGTGGGTTGTGGAATGTGCAAATGTGCCTCAGGGCCTCCGCCGAACTCTCCGAATCAGATGGTAATGCGTAGTATTCTGGGCAACGGATTCGGACATAGTCTAGCTGGCGAGTAGTGGGCTAGATGCAAACAAGACGAGCGAGGCGTCGGGAGCCGGGTGGGAAGATGAGGATGATGACGATGCAGATACTGTATGTAATGCAAGATGCAGGCGCAAGTCCACTGCAACAAACCGCCCAATTCTCCTCTTATTTAATCCCATTTCCACCGGAACCACAATCTCAGAGTCATAGTCAGCTGCATCAGTCCGCCTAGCACCGCTACGTGGTTTCTTCTCATTGTCCCACCCCGAGCCCACTGTGGCCTCACTTACCGCCTTGATCCTAACCGCAGCCCAACCCACATGTGTCCATGCCGGAACCCACAGCAAAAAGAGCCTCGACGGGAGGCGCCATGCAGCCCAACGAGCCTGAGTGGGGATGGCCTCTGCCCAAACGAGCATAGCACGCCACGTATAGGCCCAAATTGCCATTGCTTATAGGACACACTCCTCTGGGTCGGGAACCTGGCCAGACTGACATGTTGCTGTGGGCGTTTTTCGGACTTTGTCGTAGCTTCCTTGTGCCGTTCTCGCTTCTTCTAGTTGCATGGTCTAAAGTGGGCTCTGGTGCGTTGGGCTCACCGGTGAACATGTATGTAGCGCTGTCGAGGCCCCTCGTCGTTTCATGGGATCCCCCAGCTTGTACCCATCATATATACATTGCCAAGGGGGTAAAAAGACTACACAACAAGCCATCTATCACGTGAACGCCTCAAACTGTCTGGGTATACGGAAGGAATACCCAAGTTTATATACAAAAAATACAGGCTAACTCACATCGCTGCTGTAGCCCAGTACTTCGACCAGGACGTTGGCGAACGTGCTGATACTCCACACCGCAACTAACCCCCACCCAATCGTCTTGTCCATCTTCCATCTTCTCATAGGCACTGCCACCAATAGTCCAGCCAAAGTAAAGAGAAGCGTGGCCCCCGATATCACCAACGTGGTGCTAACAGCAATATGATACGGTTTAAAACGCACCGGCTGATCAGGGTGTTTCTCATGCTTGTGCTCTCCCGTTGTAATCGTCATATAACACCCACTCAGCCCGATACCCAATAGTATGTTCAGCATCGGGCCCCCGAAACACGCTGAAAGCGCCATGATTGGGAACCCAAGGCGCGCAACAGTAATGTCTGCCACCAGATCGCCGAGAGAGTTTCCAACCGCAAAAATGGTAAGACCAAGGATGGCATCCGACATGTTGAGCACCACGCCAAGGGTGCGAAGAACGCCGACAACCTCATTGGCAATGGTGCTGATCCAGGCAATGGCCACGGCGAAGCCAAGAAAGCAAAGCAACGAGCGCCAGCGCGGTGGGCGGTCTGGTGTTGTGGTTATAAGAACAAAAGCAAGTACGCACAAAGACCCCACGAGCGAGTAGAGCGTGTGTCGCAGAAGTGTGCGGGGGTTATCAGGCTCGAGATTGGCCCAGAGGATAAGCACAATGAAGAAGGGGGCCGTAAAGATTTGGACGATTACGAGCCACCGGTTCCACTGCTTGGGTTCCGAGAGCGAGGGTATCGCAGGAAGTTGCTCTGGTGACTGGGCAATGGCATCTGCACTTGTGATGTACACTTCAGGTGGCTGACTGGCAGTGGTGCTCATAGATCCCCCATTGGGTGATCTTTTGTGAGCCGACGTGGCCTTCTTCGCCTTTGACAAGCTCATATCCGCCGAGCTTTCCGGTGGTAGCACAATCGAAATACTACGGCTGTGTGAGTCCATGCTACCATTGATAGGCGTTCGCGGCGATGGAAGACCAAAGTCCAAGGAAAGTTCTGCATGGCCTCCGTCATTATCGTCCTTTTGCTGTTCAACCACTGGCAATGTAATCGTCAGGAGGAACACGGGAAGACTGGCCACAACCCCCAGGACCTTGTCGAAGATGCTTTTGTCATGCCAATTAGTCAATGTCGGGAACAACGTCGACAGAAGGATATTCGGTGTTGGCAAAAGTCTAGATGGCCACCACCTCGGTGTCCTTGCCTGATTTTGGAACCCAAACGGATCTTTGGGGAACACAGACTCAGGTGATGCGCTGGGCGAGCGCGCATGGAGGCTTGGAGGTCTGGAAGAATGGGCCGACCAAGGGTATTCGTTAAAGGCTGGAAAGGGTATAGTAGGGGACATTGCATCAGGAACAGCGAGTTTCAGGCTTGGGGGTTGGGGTCGTTCACCAGGTTCCAGCACCGGTGACGAAAATGGGCTCGGTGATGCTGTGCCTTGGCGAACTGGTGTAACACCGTGCACCAGCCTGTTATACGACGGATGTCTGACTCTTGGTGGAGCTGGGCTTGTTGCTCGTGAGCTATGCTGAGAAGCCGGCGGGGACGTTCGTGTGGGGGGTACGTAACCGGGAGTCAATAGTCTACTGCGCTCATTGGGTGTTGCTGGCCCAAAAGTGATGTCTGGAACACCTTCTTGCAGTGTGCTCGGGTGAAGCCGGACATTGTCAATGTCGTTGGTTGAAACGGCCCTTGCTCGATTGCCCATGTTTTGTTGAATCTCCATGTTCGGCCTGATGACATGTGGCGAAGCATCCGATGAAATCGATGCCACGTCGAAAGGAGGTCGGGCAGCAGGATCGGATGGTCTCGATATGTTGTCTTGTTGCTGTGCTGTTGTGTATGTCGGGTCGTCCGAATATCGTCGTAAGCTGATAGGCATTGACTGAATGTTCCTAGACTTCTGTAGGGAAGAGAGCACAGCCCTAAACTCCAATGCTCCTACCAAGCTGGGCCGGATGGGCGTGTGGGTGTTTCGTCGAGACGTAATGTTTGGCCTACTAACGCGCATGTTGTTGGTCAACTCTCCCATCCACCGTTCGCGTTCTTCTTCGTTGTCATCTTCATCTATAGAGCCCCCTCCACCTGCGCGTTCAAGCGCTGAAAAGTCGTCCACGGATATGCCTCGACCCGGAGTTGTGCTACCTGCTGTTGTCTCCTCGTCGTGATACTCTGGTATTTCCTCCTCGTCGTCACCAGGAATTATGTACTGGCTCCTCATTGCGGCCGCCTTCAGTCTCCTGGCCTTCCTCTGATTGAGCCACCAGTGCCAAGCAACCACGAATGCGACGTAAAAGATGTAAAATGCGACCATGGTGATAGACTCCCATAAGTGAAGCTGGCCATCTGCAATGAACCCCATGCTGAATGCTGCGGCAATAAGGAAGAATGCAACATCTCGCACAAAGCTCCTACGTGCGACATTGAATGGGCGGATCAAGGCCATAGAGCCCGATACTACCGCTGTAATGAAGCATGCAGCGCCAATCAACTCACCAATAGCCAGACTCGCAGCATTCGTGCGGAATGCCGCAAAAGTAGAGAAGACGTCTGGACTACCATTTCCGAGCGCAAGCAGCGTAACGCCAGCCAGACTCTCGCTCATGCCCAACATGAGCGAAATGGTATTGAGGTTGACGCAGAAGAAGTCGCTCGCCGCAATTCCAATGGTGCTGAAGAGCATGCCGAGCCAGAGCGCCAATATCACGAATGCCACGGGTTTGGCATGCGGTAATCGGCAGTAGTAGAACGTCAGGTAGGAAATGACACCCGCTTCCTCGTCGGGGCAGTTGGCCAGCACAAAAGCGCATTGATCCGCCGCTTGATGGACCAGTCGACACTGGGCAAGGTAAGTATTCGTCTTCGCTGTGGGAAAATTTGCCATACCTCTTCGTCTAACATAGATACATCCCTCTTGCGCAGCGTATTCCCAGCAGAGAGGCTTCCTTTATGCGCCGGCCCTTTCGCCCATGCAAGCAACGAGATAAGAGTGATTGCAAGTATTGTGAGGGCGAAGGGCCGCGCCGAGTATCGAGGGCGTCGCCATTTCTGCGCGGTTTCCAGTATAGAGAGATCGTTCATCGTTACGGCATTTTCATGCACGAGTAGAGTGCAACCGGTGCGGTATCTCGTCCGCGTGTATAGAGAATGCGCCGGCAGTTATGTAGGGTTGCCGCGAGGGGTTGGTGCAACGCCAATGAGTCGGTACGGTCCACCGAGCTCTTGCGCGTATAAAATGATGCTTCGAGGGGCGATTCTGGCGGGATCCTGCGACGTGGTTGCGACGGCGGTGCGGTAAATGCGCGGCGGAGCGCGGAGCGTTTGACCGCACTAGTAGTCCTGCTTAGGACTACACAGGAGTAGATTGCGATAATGATGATATTGAATTCCAAAGGATTAGGGTCCTGCGCTGGAGCGCACCAGGTTCATAAACTACGCTCGCACGAACCTGGAAGCCTGGAGTCGAGCTTGCTGAAGCTTGCTGAAGCTTGCTTCGTCATTCACAATGCACCGCCACACTGATGTGGCGAGCGAGGGTCCGGGAGAAAGCGCAACCCAGCTCCGCGTGGCGTGCCTGCAGGTGCCCTGACGCGAACCACCACTCAACGTGTGTTGACAAACATTGCGACGACCACGCCAACGCCGAACAACAACCCACCACGATGCCGCGCACATCCAAATATAGCATTACGGCGTCGCCCCAGAGGACGCCCATCAAGTAGGACCAGCGATCCCACCTCTTTTATTGGGCTAATCGGGCGTAGAGTGCCGCTGAACGACGACCGACAAGAGAAGGCGAACCGCCGACATGCATTCCAAGAAGCCCAGCGCAACTCTCTGCGAGCATCTGCTACACCAGCCCGAAGACGCATATCCCTCGCGGCCGGACAGAACAGCCCACATACGCCGTCGCAAGACCAAGATGACATGCCCGAGGTCTCTGGAAGCGCCGTGACGCCCATGAAGCGCGTCATGCCTCTCCTAGCCAACTTCGAGGAGTGGATGAAGATGGCGACGGACAATGTATATATTTCGGCTTGGATTGTGGATATGAAGCTAATCCAAGGCAGAAAATCAACGCGAACAACTCCTGGAATTTTGCGCTTATCGACTATTTCCATGAAATGTCCCTACTGAAGGAGGGCGACGGTGTGAACTTTCAAAAGGCCAGCTGCACACTCGACGGCTGTGTGAAGATCTACACTAGTCGAGTCGATAGCGTTGCCAGTGATACCGGCAAACTACTCAGCGGTCTCGCAGAGAATGCCAGCAAGAAGCGCCGCGGGGATGCTGATGACGGAGAAGAGGGCGAGGATGATGACGGCGAAGAGGGAGAAGATGGCCAAAAGAAGCGCAAGAAGAGGGCTGCGCGGTCGGCCGAAGCTACACTCGCAACGTCTTTCTCGCAACTACAGAACAAGAAGATGGAATTGGAGTTCTCGGTAGACCCGTTGTTCAAAAAGGCGTCCGCTGACTTTGACGAGGGAGGTGCCAAGGGGCTGCTTCTCAATCACTTGGCTATCGACTCGAAAGGACGAATCGTCTTTGATAGCAGCGACGATGCGAACGACGCAACAGCAGCAGAGGAGTCGCGAGCCACCCCAATGCCTGAGGATCCCGCGCATGAGCAACGCGATGATGCTTCAGAACAACAACCATCAGATACAATCGAGATTGACATCTCCGGACTTGCGAAAAAGTATTTCCCAGACTTGTCTCACCTCGACGAGCAGGATGTGTGCCCTTCCATGAAGACATTCGATCTTGGGGACGTGAATGGGTCCATAGATCTCCCCTTTCTCAGGGGTCCAGAGGACGGGCGAGATGATGAGAACAAAGACGCAGAAGAGGAAGCAGGCAATCGTTCAGGCGTGTTTCTCGACGACGACAACCCAATGGGCTTTGATGATGACGATGATATCAACATGGGCGGGTTCGACCTTCCTCCCGAGACTGGTTTCGGTGAGGGTGGTGAAGTATGGGCTAGGGAAGCTATTCGAGATCCACAAATCCGTGTCCACACTATGGGACTCGGTCAGGGAGATGATGAGGCTGGTGAGGCTGGAGTTGGAGCTACAGGCAGCGAAAGTGCCCAATATGGTATTTCTATGACCCACGGTCGGGATCAAGAGCAAGAGAACATCTTGAGCTACTTCGACCAGGCCCTAAAGAAAAACTGGGCAGGGCCAGAGCATTGGCGCATTCAGCGAGTCAAGGATGTTGGAAAGACTACACCGACAACGAAGCGAAAGGAGAAGGAGCCCTTCGAGATCGATTTTGCGGCCCCTATGACCCAGAGTGCTGCAGACATGTTGTACATCCCCGCGACTTCGAACTCTACCATTTCATTACCTAAGGCGCAGTGGAAATCGAAGACACGGAATCTTCTACCTGATGATAAGCACTTCAACTCAAGACAGCTGTTGAGGCTTTTCTTGAAGCCGAAGTCGCGAATGGGTTCACGAAAAGAAGGCAAACGCGCACAGCCACAGCCTGAACAGCCAGTACAGGGCGAAGTTGATGAGGCCTATTGGGCTAATCAGCAAGACGCACTTGCTGAAGAAGACGGTGCCGTGCAAGGCAATTACGATGCCGACTTCTTCCAAGACGATCCTCTGCCGCTGCCTGGCGGGCCGATCGATGACGATGACGACTTCGCGGATGCCCGCGACCACTTTTCGCCACCGCCTCAAGAAGCACCAGAAGCAGTGCGGCCTATCGACGGCGCAGTACCCAGTTCGCAAGCCGATGCGTTCGGGGCGCAATTGGTCACACAAAGCAGGAGATTCCGGCCTGAGTACGTGCAATACGCCAGAGTAGCGAAGAAGGTCGATGTCAAGAGATTAAAAGACGAGCTGTGGAACAGTATCGGCTTCGAAGGGGTTAGTACAGCTATCAACTCCCGTCGTACACAACATCATTAAGCTAACAACGTTTCAGATCAATGCACCTCCGCCGCCAGACGCCGTCGGAGACCCATCAGCCAAAGCAGTAGACGGCTCACTCACTTTCACAGAAGTGGTCAACAATCTGCAAGCCGTGTATCCCAAGCAAGTCATGGCCGACATATCAACTAGCTACTGCTTCATCTGCGTGCTGCATTTAGCTAACGAGAAGGGCCTGATCATCAACAATCAGGAGAACTTTGAGAACCTTACTATTCGAAGGGACTTCACGGCGGATCTGGATATTGGCATTGATGCGTAGATGTGTTTGGATTGGGTATGATTTCTTGATACCATGTTGGCGTTTGGGGTCTATAATGTGCGGTGATGTGTATATGAGCTAGAATATTTGCATTGAGCATCGTTACTCTAAATTCTTAACGGTATTTTTTTTCCCGTCGAAGCCTGAGATGGGGTGTGGTGTTCACGGTGATGAGCTGCATCACAGAGTTGTTGAGGCATGTCTTACCGTCCGTCACGTAGTTTATGACATATCAAGAACTACTATTTTTACAAGTGTCCCGTACATCCTTGACCGCGAACTGCTTCTTGAGACTGGATTCCCCTTTTCTTAGTGACCTCATGAGCTCCATATGCGCCATTGAGATGGTCAATCTTATTGTCGCCGATGCTCCCGATGGCACTGCAAGCTTGAGTTGAGTAGCACACGTTACTGAATGAGTATATAAGTCGTATGTTCGTTTTTCTATGTATTAACTAGGCTTGATACTGTTAGCCCTTAATGACTGCCCACCGATTTGATGTCCTCGGTCCTCTAAGATGCGGAGTAGCCAAAAGAGCAGCATCTATTACTTTCCAGTACGGAGGGGTTGTTGGATTGGATGGATGACCCGCAGAATTCTTTTTCAAATTCTAGGTATCAAATGATGCGTATGGACGTGTTCGAAGTGGTAAGCCTCTTGCTGGTCGTAAGCTAGATTCAACTTGGTATCAATAGGCAGCAACTGTTACAAATCGAAAAGTTCTGGGTACTGTCGTACGAGCATGTGATTGCATAGCACGATAGATTGTAAAGAGCGTACGAAGTTGGATTCTTTCTATCTAAGGAGATAACATACAATGACAGAGGAAGATACAATGAAAGAAACACATGAGCGTAGCAAAGTCGACAGGATATAACGACCGGAGTGGGAAATGAAGTAATACCCGACATTGATCTGAAATTCCAACAGAAAGTGTACAGAGGCTACGACGAGGATCATTCCTGTTTGCTCTGGCACCTCACATCATTCCAAACAGAGGATCTGGGGAAGGCAGGCCAAATACTGAGAATCGTGCGACGGTGTTGACGAACTTCCTCCGGGATAGATGACGAATGTGTAAGTCGCCAATAGTCTTCACGCCCCTGACATGTGTCGGGACACGATGCATCAGAATGATCATCACAAATCGGTCCATGGAAGTGTTGCAGGAAGTAATGTGCGTAAAAGTCCTCATGGCGGGCGAAACGATTGTTCGTAGGGCAGATAGGACACATGACTTCAGCAGTGATGGAGTCATATCCGGCCTGTCTGAGTAGTCCAGCAAAGTTTGCCCTTCCTCTCGCATCGTGCTTTTCGAGAAGGTGGGCTTGTAGATCCTCGAGGCCGTACTGTTCGGACTGTGACCAATACGTACGTATTAGCCAAAACGTACATTTCGGAATGGGACATTTGCGCATCTCACGCAGCGAATAGAATACATCTCCGATGGGACCATTATTCCAGTCACTATAATGCAAGGCAAATACACCCCGGGGCAGTTCGACGCTGCAATCAGGTTTGTAGCACTTGAAGAGATCATCGTCGTGGTGACCCGCAATAACATGGGCTTTCAACTTGTCGGGTCGCGTGAAGGCTTGGGTTCCGGTTCTCTTGCAGCCTACCGCGAGGCAAGGATAGTCCGTCTTGCCTTCATGTTTCTTCATGTGTCGATTTAGTTCGGCTTGGCGTTTGAACGGTTTGGAAATACATCCTTTGACAGAACAAACGATTAGGTCATTCGGAGTGGGTGGATCGAGAACATTCTGCCCGAATGGCGCTGGAGCATGTAACCCTTTCGAAAGCGTTGACCTCATCAAGGAATCATTGGAAGGACGGGCCTCCATTGCCCAATTGGTATCCTTCAAAATTCTTGCCCTTTTGTTAGCTCATGTCTTTTTTTAAACTCACCTGTCACCTGGGGGCGCCTCAGCACCCTGGTCCCAGGCACTCCAATTGAAGTCGTCAAACTGGAGCCAAGGCTCACTCATGACCTCCTCATACTGCCGAGTCCAATCGACATCGGACAGCTCATCCTCGAAGGGTGCGTACTGCATATCGTGGTCGACGTAGTCGGACATGGTTGGCTGTTCGGAGACTTGGCGAAAAGGGCAACTGGAAGGCTGAAGCAGCTCGAGACAGGATTGGTCGGGTTGGTAGAATAGGGCAACGAGGCTGAGGCAGTCGGTGAGACGAAAACGGTAGTCGAAGGCGAGATTTGCGAAATGGGTGTACGGAAGATGGAGAAATGTTGAGAGAAGTGGGTGAAGGAGGGTCCTGGGGACAGCATACTTTTATGCCTTCTCGCGGGTTTGCCAAGCAAAAGGGCAACATGGACGCCCGATCCATCTTTCAAGCACGGGACTCCTGACTCTAGTTGTGGTAGCCATGCACCTTAAGTGGAGGTTGTGATAGCCTTGATCAAGTTTATCGTCTGATTAGCGCGCATTTCGTGCCCTTTTGCGTTGAGAAGTAGTCTGTCCCCCAGGCGCGATGAGTGATCATTTGTCACTTTGATCTACCAGTTACGCCTACGAACCTAGGTCGACATGAGAGAGTACCTTGAGGTCGAAGACTCGGATGTTGAAATGGTTTTGAGTAATCGAGCAAGGATCGTTGATGATCTTATCCTAGCCTGGCTCCCACCAGATGTCGAGGAAGGAGCACTCACAGGCCCAAGTCAGCCATGTGGTTGTTAGAACTTGGACCGATTTTTGAAATACAAAGAGAATTTGATTGAATAACTACTACACCAGTAGGGATGTGTCCCATGTGTCCTGACATCGAAAAGCAAGGATGATCTATACCATGTCACTAGTCAAGGAAATCTTAGAAGTCGTATTCTGAGGAAGTAGCTGGCACTGTACAAGATATAGAACACACACGCCTCCGCTGCTCGCTCCCTCCAACTCGCCCAAATGCAAAATCGTCCCACGCCTATTGATTGGTCTTGCCTGAGCTGTTTGGCTTGGGGATGTGGTCGAGGATGCTCTTTTGGGATGGCGGACTGTAGACAATCTTCCGTGTTTTAAGCGGTGCCCACTTGTATCTAGTGGGGTTGTTAGCTATAAAGTCGTATTTGCAGCGCAAGTCGCATTCTGCTTACCTCTTGACCCATACGCTGATAGCGAACAGTACGCTGGTAACAGCCAGCACCTTCCAGCCCATCTTCTTGCGGTCATCCATCTCCGGCTCAGCAGTCCAGTGCAAAAACTCGACAACATCCTTGGCCATCTGCGAGGTCGATGCCTTTGTTCCATCGTCGTATTCGACCAAATCGTCGTACAGCACACGGGCCATAGCAATACCAGTTCCGGGGAAGTAGGGGTTGAAGTTCAAGCCGTCCTGGATGACAGCACCGGCAGGTGGCTCCTCAGGGTAACCAGTCAACAAGCTGAAGATGTAGTCGCAGCCGCCGTGGCGGGCCTTGACCATGAGGGATAGATCTGGGGGCAGAGCACCGTTGTTGGCGGCACGAGCAGCCTCGTCGTTCTTGTAAGGAGCAGGCATGTAGTCAGACAGCTTTCCAGGACGCTTCTCGATTTCGCCTTCGTTGTTCGGCTCGGTATCGTACTCGGTCTCTTCGGCGAGGGCCTTGGCCTCATCGACGGTCATGAATTGACCAACGACGGTACGGTATGGCACACGGGAGATGGAGTGGCAGGATGCGCAGACTTCTCGGTAGACCTGGAAGCCACGGCGAAGTCTGTGATGTTAGGTTAGATGTGACCTGTACGCGCTAGGGCCAGGTGCACTTACGCCCCATGATCGAATGTCTTATGCCACTTGGTGTGCTCCCATGGATACTGAGTCGGATGCAGACTGTAATTCGAGATGTCAGCTTTTTGTTGCCGCCAATTGTTCCAAGCGAGATATCTCCTCAGCCGAACAAGCACCGGACGTCACTTACCCTTCTTCCGCAGGAGTCATCGCATCGACGTTGCGGCCGTAGAGGTGCCAGTACCAGGCAATGGATCCGACTGCGAAAACGGTGGCGCCAGCTGGGAGGGCATTGTTCTTCCACGCGGAGCCAGCTCCCTCGGCAGAGGAGGTGGACGTCGAGGCAGAGCGCTGTATCATCCAATTCGTCAGCCATCAATTCAATTGGAGCAGGAGAGCCTCTCGGCTACATGGCGATGCCACAGATGGCATCGTTGACGCTCGCGGGGGCTGTCGGCTGGGATGGGGACATGCGGGAGTCGTACCGAAGCTGTTTTGCTGGCAGCATTGCGAGCTGCCGCGCCGGCCGAGCGCGCTGTGCGCAGTGCTGATCGAGCCAACATGGTGATGTGAAGCCGGCTCGGAGCAAGGAGGGAGAGGGTCAATGGGTCGTTTGGCGGTGGTGATGTTGGTGGCAGTTGCCCGATCGCGAGAAGGAAACTTGAAAAGCGCTTGGCAAGCTCTAACCGCAATCACGATAAGTGTGATTGGCTGACAGCCAAACCTCGCTCAAATGCATCCTGCCCCGACTTTCTGTGTGGTCAACTTCCTCAAATTTTGAGAGTTTATTGTAAGAGCGGAAGATGAAGATGAGACTCGATTTCTTCTTGTCAGGACTCACATTGGATTCCGGGCGATAGCTACTGAGGAAAGTTTACAGATTGCTAGCGCCGCATGCATCTGCAGCACGATGTGACGCCTCGCCTCAATTCAAGCGGGCAACATGCACATGATATCTTTCTTAATTCCTGTTGATCTGTTCTAATGCGAGTAGAGGGAGATGTTGATACTGGCTTCCTTTTCTCGAAGTCCTGCACAGCGCCGAGCCTTCCATCCTTCCTTACCAATTGCATCATCTTACGTCTAGATGTATCCTGCTGTCTATAGAGACTGTTGATTCCCATGGGTACCGCTTCGAGGAGCATCAGACCGTGGACGCATGCGACTGCGATGAGCAATCAACGTGATACAGGGTTGATCGCCGTGAAAGACATGCACATGACATGCGTCGATCTAGGTCTGGACGAAGTCTGCACATGCTGTGCACCCGTCAAAGAGTGACAGATTAAAGTATGGTGGGGAAAAGCTATGCTGCTTTCATCAGTTCTGTAAGCGACCTCAATATGTCAGACATTCTAAGTACTCCGACTATGTTCAGGCGTATCTCCCTTCAGACCCACTGTCCAGTATCTGAGAAGTACGAGAGCACGGCATCGAGGGGTGGAAAGGTAGATCAAAGATGACCCTGGAGGTTGCACAACAGTCCTGAGCTGAACTCGTGGGGTTGGTATCAACCTGCGCATGTGAGTGCGACAATAGCCCTATGCAAGGAAATGTCATAAGCACTCTGCCCTCCCGACCTTAATCCGACTCCACCAGGGATGTGATCAGTGGCATCGACCGCAGCCCTAGGAAACGCAATTTCTGATGGTCACGTTGACCCTGGCCGCGGTCTACCGTCTGCTGACACAGTACATTGCATCTACAGGACGAGGCCTGGAGTAATGGCACTACGACCGTGACATAGCTGGCTCCGATTATGATGTAGCACTACTTCTATACCCATCCACTCATGCAGGAATTGCGGAAAGGCTCAAACGAGTGCTGAGGTTTTGTCTGGCAAGGACTGACGAGTCGCCAGAACACACAGCGCCTCTGCAGAGGGAGAGCGCTGGGAGGACTTCTTGCGGTGTTTGAGAAGAAGAGGGCTCGGAGCAGCTGCAGAGGTTTTGTTAGCGAGGCAGACTAGCGTGGTGCACCTTGCATCCGTGCCAAGCATGATGGATGCAGGTCACTCCTTCATTTCCAGACTCTCTTTGACCAATTGAAAGGGGCGTTTACACCGCACAAAGACGAGTAGATGCACTGCTTCAGGCAGAATGGCTGGCGCAAAGCAGACGATGCTGCCATTGGGGTCCGGCGTCTCCTTTCTAGGCCTACCGCCATCACCGCTGCTGCTTCCCGCAGTCGGCGGCTGGACCTGCACCCTCGCCGGCACCTTTTGCACACCGTGAAGAGCCCCACGACGACGTCTATTTACCCCGCCGTGCAAGCTCAACTCCGAAACACCACCCCTCGACGCGCGCCTACATCCTCCCGACATACTGCACTGGTTCCAATTAGACATTGTTCGCATAGAAGAAACATGTGCAAACATTTCGGCGCAGAGGGACATTCATCCATCGACATTACAAAGGGTCGAGAGATTCTGCCGGCCAATGTCAAGCCTGTCCACTATGATTTGACTCTCGAGCCCGACTTTGAGAAGTTTACCTACGATGGCACCGTCGTCATTGAGTATGCAAAAGAGCAGGCACTCGCTAGAAACGCTCGCTGACCCTCCCCCAGCTTAGACGTCGTCGACGACACCACCTCGATATCGCTAAACACAAACGAGCTCAAGATACACTCGACCAGAGTTACTGCAGGCGAGCACGTAATCTCCGAGTCGCCCACCGTTTCCCACGATGAAGATGCACAAACCACCAAGGTCAGCTTCGACCAGACAATCCCCGGCGGAAGCAAGGCGAAGCTCACCATGACCTTCTCCGGAATCCTGAACGACAACATGGCTGGCTTCTACCGCTCCTCGTTCAAGGCCGAGGACGGATCTACCACATACATGGCTACAACGCAGATGGAGCCTACCGATGCGAGGCGAGCATTCCCGTGCTTCGATGAGCCTGCGTTGAAGGCAAAATTCACCGTAACACTCGTCGCGGACGAGAAGATGACGTGCTTGAGCAACATGGACGTGGCCTCAGAGAAGAAGGTGGATTCAAAGGTCGCGGGCGGAAAGAGAAAGGCTGTCACGTTCAACCCAACTCCGCTCATGTCGACATATCTCTTGGCGTTCATTATTGGCGAGCTCAACTACATCGAGACGAACAACTTCCGCGTACCCGTGCGCGTGTATGCGCCGAAAGATAGGGACATTGAGCACGGTCGATTTTCGCTCGAGCTCGCCGCAAAGACCTTGGAGTTCTACGAGAAGACCTTCAACAGCCCTTTCCCACTGCCAAAGATGGACATGATTGCCATTCCCGACTTCAGCGCCGGCGCCATGGAGAACTGGGGTCTTGTCACGTATCGTGTCGTGGACGTGCTCATTGACGAGAAGGTCAGTGGTGCAGCTGTCAAGCAGCGGGTAGCCGAGACTGTGCAACACGAACTCGCACATCAGTGGTTCGGCAATCTCGTTACCATGGACTTCTGGGACGGTCTGTGGCTAAACGAGGGATTTGCGACATGGATGTCATGGTACTCTTGCAACGTCTTCTATCCCGACTGGAAGGTCTGGGAAGGCTACGTTACAGACAATCTTGCCGGTGCTCTTTCGCTCGACTCCCTGCGCAGCAGTCACCCCATCGAGGTTCCAGTCAAGCGCGCTGATGAGATCAACCAAATCTTCGATGCCATTTCGTACTCGAAGGGCTCCAGTATCATCCGCATGATCTCAAAGTACATTGGTGAAGACATCTTCATGGAGGGTATCCGAAGATATCTCAAGAAGCACGCCTATGGCAACACAGAGACCGGCGATCTTTGGGCCGCTCTCGCTGATGCTAGTGGCAAGGATGTCGGCAAAGTCATGGACATTTGGACGAAGAAGGTCGGCTTCCCTGTGGTCACTGTTACCGAAGGCACCGACTCTATCCACCTCAAGCAAAACCGCTTCCTTCGCACAGCCGATGTCAAGCCGGAAGAGGATCAGACGCTATATCCCGTATTTCTCGGACTACGAACAAAGGAGGGCGTCAACGAGGACCTGACGCTCTTTGACCGGGAGGCAGACTTCAAGCTTAAAGACTTGGACTTTTTCAAGCTCAACGCAGATCATTCTGGCCTTTATCGGACATCGTATTCGCCGGAGCGGTTAAGGAAGCTTGGTGTTGCTGCGAAGGATGGACTCCTCACCGTAGAAGATAGGGCTGGCATGATTGCCGATGCCGGATCCTTGGCTGCCTCTGGCTACCAGAAGACGTCTGGCATTCTCTCGCTTCTTGACAGCTTCAAGGACGAGTCGGAGTTTGTGGTTTGGCAGGAAATTACCGGTCGCATCGGCTCTCTTCGCGGTGCATGGATGTTCGAGGATCAGAAAGTTAGGGATGCTCTCAAGAAGTTCCAGCTCGAGCTTGGTGCAGACAAGGCACATGAGCTGGGATGGACCTTTGGTGAGGATGATGGGCATATCGAGCAACAGTTCAAGGGCTTGATGTTCGGCGCCGCCGGAATTGCTGGTGACGAGAAGATCACCAAGGCATCTTTCGATATGTTTGAGAAGTTCAAGGCTGGAGACAAGTTGGCCATCCACCCTAACATTCGCGGCAGCGTATACGCCATCGTTCTGGCCAACGGGGGCAAGGAAGAAGTAAGCCAAGCCCCAAATTATGCATGGAACTACAGCTGACCACTTGCAGTACGATGTCATTGTCGACGAAGCCCTCCACGCCGCTACAAGCGATGAACGCAACTCTGCTCTCCGCTCGCTCGGCCGTGCCAAATCTCCCGAACTCATCCAACGCACCCTCGACTTTGCTCTTAGCAAGGACGTCAAGGGTCAGGACATCTACCTGCCCATCTCAGCATTGCGGTCACATCCGGAGGGCTGCTTCGCGCTCTGGAAGTGGGTCAAGGATAACTGGGAGGAACTCGAGAGGAGGCTGCCTCCTAGCTTGAGCATGCTGAGCTCCGTTGTTTCCATCACCACATCCAGCTTTACCCACCGTGATCACATCAAGGACATCGAGGCTTTCTTCAAGGACAAGAGTACAAAGGGCTTCGATATGTCGCTTTCTCAGAGCATCGATGCCATCAGCGCCAAAGCTGCCTGGCTCGAGCGAGATTCTGAAGATGTCAAGACTTGGCTTCAGGAGCACAAGTACTTGCAGTAGGGATATGCAGAAGATGTCATCGCATGGGATGATAGACTACCTGAGTTTAATGAGGCTTCACTTTGTAAAAGACTACAAGCATTATACGCATAGATATGTGTAAGATAGAGACATAAGCATTTACCTGCAAGCAAAATAACTTGTATGCAGTCAATCTATGAACCCAAATACTCTCAAAGCGCTTTCGTGCATTAATTGTGCCTACACATTTCCAAATTAGATTGCCCGTATGGGCTATCGATAAGACATCTACAGTGGCCTGGGATACTTGCACCAGCATTTTAATTGTCCAAATGCTCGGCCGTATTAGAAGCAACTCTAAAAGGGTTCAGTCTGCTAGTTCTGATTACATGCAACGAATTCCAAGTTATGACACAACAGTGCAGTAAGGGAGCAAGGGTCGCAATGGCAATACGAAAGGGCCAATGCTTGGTGGAGCCGCAACGTCAGCGCGCCAGGCCGCCAAACATGTGAGAATCGTCAGTTAAGCCACGGTTCAGGCTTTGCACACAAAGATATTGAGGCTATGTGGCACTCAATCGTAGCGTCTCTTCCGCATGCTTCCGCACAACACTCCTCCCTCTGCTTTCGCTGCAATTGACTTCGCTCGTTCGACCGCGACATTCCCAGCTCTCAACAAATGCGACACGTCCGCCCATGCGCGATTCCTCGAGTAGACGGTTGTAATTCAAGTCCCCGGAGTCATTAAAAAAGAAAAACTGTTTCAGCAAGAGCTAGGATAGCACATCATGTTGCACGACGCAGAACCACCAGACCCGCAAGCCGATGCGCCTTCGCTTGCAGACGTCGAAGCCCTCGAGCTATTCCGCCGCTCACCACACCCGTACCTCCGCCACAAAGACGAGATCAGGAGACCGTCACCAGACCGATTAAGCGCCTCTGGGCCACGATCACGAACCCGCCTTCGACCCTCCGATCGCACAATATCCGACGTAGATGGAAGGAAGCGTAGGAGAGCCTCGCAATCACCAAGCGAGAGTGGCACCGAGGCGGATGACGAAGGGTACAACTTCATAAAAGCGCTTCCTGCTCCTCCTTTACGACCGCATAAGGGTCTTCGCGACACACGGGGGTCGGGGAAGGAGGAATGGGCCAGTCCGCTTCTTACCCCTACACAAATCGACGACGAAGGGCGGAAGTTGTTGGAGGGCTACTTCAATGACATCAAGAAGGGCCCGCGAAGAGGCGAAGCATCCTTGACAGATGATGAGGCAACAGCAGCGAGGCAAAAGTATCACAAGAGGCGGCGGAATGAACTTGTTCGGAGAACAACAGAGACGGCATTGTTAGCCGGCACCAGCGTCCTTGCAGTTCAAGGATGTGGCTGCTGGGGCCAATTGCTGGACTGGCACAGAGGTGTGTGCTTGAGTGTGGATGTAGACAATTTGGACAATGCTAATGTGTACTTAGTTGAACTAGTGACCCACGCTGCGGTCATAATTGGCGCATTATGTCTATATCCACTCCGGCTACTTCACTACTCCAGAAAAGAAAACTCAAAGCTCATATTACGGCGTCGAATACACCTACCCGCAGCTTTTGATCCGGCCACAATACTGTACCCCCCAATAATACCCGTCCTAATCTCGATATCTCTGTTCGCTTCCTTTCCAAAACTATTGCTACCAAATATCCTTCTTGGACTCGCCGCATTACCGCCCCGAATTATACCATTCAGAAATGCAACGCTGGGGTACTCAAATATCCATTGGCTTGTGTCTATCTTACCACTAATTGCCGCCGAAAATACCGACTTTCCATCCAATGTACTTGCCCTAAAGCCGTACAAGCTAAAACATCCTCCGCCAGACGAGGGCTTAGATCCTGAGCTTCTAGTCACTCTCTTTTCACTTCATCAGGCTTTGCTTCCCCCGTTGTACTACCTTACGACTACGAGTCTGCTACCTGCAGAGCTCCATCTACTTTCCATTGGGCTCATCAATATACTGCTATTCTCCGACTCTCCACAAGCCAGTGTTCTCAAGACCTTAATGTGGATCGGAGGATTAGGCGTCTTCTTACTCTGCGGAAAGGTCCTCAAGTGGGGTGTAGCACTTGCCCGAATACCACGTTGGAGGCTCAGGCGGGTCGGACAGGTCATCAAAGCACGACAGTCGTTCTTGCAAATTCTTAACGAGGGGTTGAGGCCGAAACAGACCCAGACGGCCGCTAGAGCGGACGTTACGGATAGCGACGCGGATGAGGACGAGCCGTTCCTTCAGAACCCACTGCAGAAGACAAAAAGTCTCAAAGTGAATATTATGGATACCATGCGGAAGAGCAATCTACAGGCAAATGGACACGAACCACAATCGGCCGTTGAGGCGAAGAGACCGGGCTTTGAAGAATCGGACGGTCGGGTGGAGGAGCTAAACAGCTTCCGGATCAAACGGAGGAATACACTTCCTCTTCCTGCAGCCGAAGACCACCGCAATACGCCACGAAAACGTTCAAGGTCCATCGCGCAGGCATACCTTTCGCTGACTCCTACACAAGCAACCATGAGGAAATGGCTCTACGCCGGGTATTTCTATCTCATAGTTGTCATCATTATCCTTGGGCCGATCCGCTATACCATTAGCAAGTCTGCTCTACATGAGCATGAACCATTCGGATGGGCGATAAGCTACCTGTTCGGCAATATACCGAGGGTACGATGGGAGGTCATTAACTGGAATTTGGACTGGTGGATCCCACTTCCCCCGATGCTTGACCTTCAGAACCTCGCCGGAATATCCGAGAACCTATCGCGTGCTGAACATGTACGTCACATCGTATTCGGCGAAGCAAACACGCGCCTTCTATTGTGCGTATACTGCGCTGCTACCATTGTTGTGGGCCTGATATCGGTCTTCTCCCTTTCTGCCGTCGTGGAAGTCGACACACGCAGAAAGGTCTTCCACGGCACCATGGTTGCTATGCTACTCCCGACTATCTTCATCGACCCTTGCTTCGTCGCTTTAGCGCTCGCTCTTGTTCTTGCCATCTTCATTCTTCTAGATCTTATCCGCGCATCGCAACTCCCACCCCTCTCCAAACCCATTGCCAAATTCCTCACGCCATACGTTGACGGCCGTGATCTCAGAGGCCCAGTTGTCGTATCGCACATCTTCCTCCTCATCGGCTGCGCTATCCCTTTATGGCTTTCGCTTGCGAGCGTCGAACGGACGGGCGACGAGCCATGGCAAGGCTGGGAAGCCAAATCACGAGATGTCAGTATGATTGCGGGGGTTATCTGCGTGGGCATGGGCGACGCAGCAGCGTCCTTGATCGGTCGGCGATACGGGAGGAGAAAGTGGCCCTGGGCCGGCGGGAAGTCGCTTGAGGGCTCCCTCGCCTTTGCCGTTGCAGTCACGATAGGTCTCGTCTTCGGCAGAGTATGGCTTCATCTAGGATGGAGCAGCCATGATGTTGCACCAAAGACTGCAGGTGAGTGGCTCAGGGGCGCAGTCGTTACCACGGCCAAGGCGGCTCTGTGTGCAGTGGGCGCAAGCCTCAACGAGGCGGTGCTCACAGGCGGCAATGATAATGTGATCGTCCCAGTCATACTATGGGTGCTGGTGAGAGGTGTCAGGCTCTAGGCAGTGCGATTCAGCCGCATCAGGTGGTACGCAGGTACGGCGTTCAGGTGTACATGGGTCTTAAATGGTCATTTGGTCATTTAGAACAGTAGCGCGGCGCTCTCTTGCAATTCTGAGACCTTCTTTGAGAGCTTTCCGGAGAATTCGGCGTTCTGGGACGTGGTTTTAGAACTGGGCGGTAGAAATCAAAAGCGGTGGTTGGGTTGTTGTCTTCCTGTGGGAATTGAGGGCTTGCGATGCTTGTATGACAGACTAGGCGTGGGAGAGATTCACGTGGACGTCCAGGGTCGCAATACGCTTAGTCATACCTCGAAACTGTCTAAACAGCACATATATACTCTCCCATTACAGTCGCCTCACGCCATGTCGCAAGCTAGATTATTGAAGGTCAAATTAGAGCTTCAACATCAGGCTGCCTAGACCCTCTATTAGGAGTGAAAACTCGCATATCAGGTTACTCCGGCCCTCTGGTTGGAGCAAAGACGGCAGGGATGCGACCTAGTGGTGGCCCAGTACAGCATGAACGCTGAGTGAAGTTCAGCCTTGCTCCGCCACCATTTCAGCTGTCAGCTCGACTTCGTGGACTGAAGCGCAGCCTGCCCACTTGTCCTATCGTCAACTCTCTAGACCTTGATCTTTACTTGCGACATATTCTATCTCAGCTTTCACCTCTTGCAGTTACCTCATCAGCGAATGCTACAGACCGCGTCACGTAATCGAACGAGCGAGCGAGCGAACCAACGAACTGTCTCCCCTGATGTGAATGAGGGGTAGAGCCCAACCACCCAGCAATGCGGCTTCTTAAAATTGAAGACGATGGCAAACTCAGCCTCACGAAGGACTTGATTGGCGACGACGACATCGTTCCTGCTTACGCTATTCTTTCGCACACCTGGCAGGAAGATCAAGAGGTGACGTTTGACGACTTTATAAACGATGCCGGAAAGAGCAAAACAGGCTATGATAAGCTTCGGTTCTGTGCACAACAAGCCGAGCGAGATGGGCTGCGTTACTTTTGGGTGGACACTTGCTGCATCAATAAGGTGAATGCCGTCGAACTTCAGGATGCCATTAACTCCATGTTTCGGTGGTATCGAGACGCAACCAGGTGTTATGTCTTTCTATCTGATGTATCCGCAACCAAACGAGAGGCAAACAGTGCATCTTTTATCTTCACTTGGGAACCGGCATTTCGGCGTAGTCGATGGTTCACTCGGGGCTGGACTCTCCAGGAACTGCTTGCTCCACGTAATGTGACATTCTTCTCTCGAGAAGGCAAGCAGCTAGGCGACAGAGAAAAGTTGAAACAGCTGATCAACGAGATTACTGGTATGCCTATCCCTGCCGTTTTGGGGGTTTCCTTGGATGATTTCAGCGTTGATGAACGACTATCTTGGACGGAAAGACGCAACACCACGCGTAAAGAAGACAAGGCATACTCGTTGCTGGGTATATTCGGTATTTACCTGCCTCTTATCTATGGTGAAGGACAGGAAAACGCATTTCGCCGGCTCCGAAAGGGGATTGAAGAGCATCTGGCGGAATCCTCCCAACAACGACCACCGCCTCCGTTGACAGATGGAGTACACAAATCTGCACACAAGACATCATACTACATTCCGTTCCCCAAGAATCGATACTTCGTTGGAAGGACAAATGAACTCGACGTGCTCAAGCAGTCGCTGCTGGAGGGTCAAGATTGCCAAAAGATGTCAATCGTGGGCCTCGGCGGGACGGGCAAGACACAAATCGCTTTGCAAATCGCTTACATGTTCAAGGAGACGTTGTCGGGGTGCTCGATCTTCTGGATGCCTGCAGTGAGCATGGAGACCTTCGAGCAGGCGTGTAAGGAGATTGCAGTATCTCTGCACCTAGTTCAGGCGGGCGATGGAGACGAGGACGCGAAAGAGCTTGTGAAGGAGCACCTGAGCGCAGAGCAGGCAGGACGATGGTTGCTAGTGCTCGATAACGCAGACGACCGAGATATTGTATTCGGGACTGGGCAATCGAGAGGCATCGTCGACTACTTACCAGAGAGCGAGAGAGGTACGACCTTGTTCACCACGCGTACTCAGGGGGTAGCGGTATCGCTGACACGCGGCGACGTCCTGGAGTTAGGGTCTATGACCCTACCAGATGCAACCCACTTTCTGGAAAAATCGCTGATCAAAAAGGACCTTATTTGCGACACTGCAGCCACAACAGAGCTGCTGGGCGAGCTAACATGCCTGCCTCTAGCCATCGCGCAGGCAGCCGCCTACTTGAACTTGAACAGAACCTCCATCACGAAGTACTTGCGGCTGCTTAAGAGCACAGAACAGGACACAGTCGGCCTGATGAGCAAAGAGTTCCGCGATAATACACGCTACAGAGGTTCGGCGAATGCAGTGGCTACGACGTGGATCGTATCCTTTACCCAGCTTCGAGAGCGCGACACGGAAGCGGCTAAACTTCTGGAGTTCATGTCATGCATCGAGTGGAAGGCGATACCGCGATCGTTGCTGCCGACGGTTCGACCAAAAGAGCGAATGGACGAGGCCATCGGCACGCTCTGTGGGTACTCTTTTGTGTCGAGACGGGAGGACGACAGCCTCGAGGGGGCCGAGGGAGAGGAGGAGTGGTATGACTTGCACCGACTCGTACATCTTGCGACCAGAATTTGGACAAACAAACATGGCGATGCTGCAGGTGTGACGGGAGAAGTAATCAAACATGTTGCTAAAGTTTTCCCGCACGGCGCCTGGGCCAATCGGGCGGTGTGGAGAGCGTATATGCCGCACGCATTGCGACTGCTGGACACAAAACAGGGGAGTAATGTCAAAGAGAAGGCTGAGTTGATTTGCCGGGTGGGACGGTGCCTGACGACTGACGGCAGAATTGGAGAGGCAGTGAAGTGGCTGGAGGAGAGCTGCAGTTTAAGAAGCGAGTTGGATGAGGACGACCCGTATCGACTAAAATCGCAGCACGCACTCGCAAGCGCATATGAAGCGGATGGGCAGGTTAAGAAGGCAATAACAATACTAGAGATTGTCGTTGCAGTTAAGGAGAAGGTGCTAGATAAGGAGAATCCAAATCTACTAGCGTCGCAGCACGAGCTCGCAAGCGCATATGAAGCAGATGGGCAGGTTAAGAAGGCAATAACAATACTAGAGCATGTCGTT